GTCGTCTTCTCCCGTATTAGTAATTACGTTAACTAATACCTTATTAAATACATTTAATTAATAATATATATAATATAGAGATTTCTTATAAAGGATTATAAATTTATTATAGGAACGTTCTTCATTTAAGTAAAAACTATTATAACACTCTTTATTAAATTATATAACTTTATATATATTATCTTTGATAATAGGGTCGATAGGTTTATACTTATTGCTAATAGCGACCTTCTTCTTAAACTTCAGTTTTATAACTATATTTTCCTCTTTTTTAGGGTTAGGATTTAGAGAATTAGAACCTCCTTTTCCGTCGTTATTTCCGCCCTCCTCTCTAAAAAAAGTATTATTATAATCGTCGTTAGAAATATCCTCATTTTAACGATCGTTATCGCAATTCTCAATTTATTTAGTACTTTTATAACTACTAGCGCTATTATATATTAAGTGTAATAGTACTATCGTATTATTATTATTATAAATATTCAGTACTTTAAATTTTTATAATAAATCTTTCTAATTTCGTTTTCAGTTTAAGATTTAACCTTCCCAAGTAATTATTAAGTTAATCTAAAATAATATAAGGGCACAATATAAGTAAATCGAAGGTAAAGCTAAGATTCCATTTATAATGGAAGATTTTAAATAGAGAAAAGAAAAGAGGAAGAGAATTAGGTATAAACGTACAGACCTAAATAAATACCCTAGTCGTATAAGCGATAGCGGGACCCATATACGGGTCGCTATTAACCAATCCCTTCACTCGCATCCCCTTCACCTACATAGCAAACCCTACACATACTAAGATCCACCCTACAGCCAGTCTTAGCATAGCCAATTGAATGGCTCGCATCCCTGGACCGTGCCATGCCCAGAATCCTCCATGTACCTCATTCCAGCACATCCGTGCATGGCACCCAGACCCAGTCTGCCAGCGCCGTCACACTGCTTGTAATGCTTATCGAGGGTCAATTAGATCACTGTTTGCTAAGATGGAATACATAGAGTTGCTCACGAATGTGAGACCTAGGTAGTAGCATCGCGAGCGTTAAAGGGCCGGGGACACTCGACAATATCATCCCATTCCCTTCGATATACCGTGAAAAAAGGAATACAACAAGATGAGCATAGCTACCAGGATCCAAGTTACGGGTATCGACTCCTTTTATCGACGTCCCATGCGCAATGTCCTGGAACGATATCCCAACCGTACGAGCCGATAACTTCTTGATCGCGAGGGCCGAGGTTTGTTTGCGAAGTGGGAGATGGAAGGGGTGATGTGATGTGATGTGCACCCAAGTAAAACGAACGGCGTCTTGAAAGCTTTCAACAGTGCTGCTCTTCTTATTGACCATCCAACCAAATCCCCTTTGATGTACAACAACAACCAAATCTGTCTTGTCACAACAACCGTCTTCTACAACTATATGAACAGGTAAAAAGGTATCGCAATTAAAACTTCCACCGACTATGCTGCTGGACACGACGTCTATTTCTTCTTGTTGGAAATCCTCTTCATCGCCCTCAACTCCTTCTTCATACGGGGATCCACCATCTTGTATCTGCCCTTGACTGTAGTAGTGAGAGCGAGTTAGCATCATCATTCCATGGACAACACGAGAGACCTTAACGTAGTACGAACCTCCTTTAGGTCTGCCCTGGAGACCCCTGTTGGAACCAGCAGCCTTGACGACCTTGATAGGCGCCCTCCTCGTCTTCTTAGCAACCCCCGCCATGAGCTTCGAGATGCTAGCAGCCTTCTCCTTTTCTGACATGCCATCGTCACCGGCAAGCATATCGGCCTTCTTCTTGAGCTTCTCAAGTCTCTGGGCCTGCTTGAACTTCTTCCTGGCCTTGGCCTCGGCCACCTTCTTGATGGGACGGGCGTTGTACGCACGAAGCTTGTCCTTGATGGCCTGCGCTGCGGCCTTGGTGATGGGCTTGTGCGGCTTGTCGTGCTTGGACTCGTCGTCGAGGAACCAGTCGGGAAGACCGTCGCGGTCCTTGAAGGCGTGCTTGGTGTAACCGTCGTCGATGACGTCGTAACTCGTCTTCTCGCCGGTCGCGAGCTGGTGAGCGAGGGTCATGGCCTCGGCGGTGATGATGTCGATGTCTGTGTTTGTCATAGTCAGCCATTGCCCTTACCAGGTTGTACTGAAGAGGGGCTGAGTGAAACTTACCAGGCCTGCCGTTCTTCTTCTTCTTCTCAACGTTCTCCCAGTCGTCATCTTCGTTGTTCTTGACAACCTCGAAATCATCCTCACCATCGCTCTCCTCAGCCGCCTTCTTGCTCTTGGCCTTGGTTTCCTTAGCCTCCTTCTTTTCCTTCTTCTCCTTCTTAGTAACCTTGAGCTCCTCCACAGCCTCAACAAGCTCGGCCTCCTGAGCCTCCTCCTCAGATTCTGGCTCCTCCAAAAGCCCTGGTATCTCGGCAAAGATACCTTGACTGAAGAAGTTCTTGGCCCGCTTGGACAGACCATCCTTCTCTTCTGGCTGGCCGTCCAGGTCTGTTATAAGCTTCTTGCCAGATTCACCATCCTCTGAGTCGGAATCGTCATCACTGCTGTCCACTTCAAGCTCCTCATCATCATCTTCGTCGCTACCCGCCTTCTCGTCGCCAGATACACCTTCCCATTCATCATCGCCGTTCTCTTTCCTGGCCTTCTTGGCACGGTATTTGGCATCGGCCGCCGCCTTGCGCTCCCGATACTGATCGTACAGGTTGTCGAGCTCTTCCTCCAAACGATCGGCCTCCTCGTCGCTCTCGTCGGTTTCGCCGTCGGAGCCAAAGTCGTAATCCTTCGTCTTCTCGGCCTCCTTAATAATGGCCATCTTGCCCTTGGCGATCTTGTTCAGGGCAGCGTTCTGGTCGATGGTCTTGAGACGGAACATGGCACCCTCACCACGGGGGCCTTCCTGCTCCATACCAATATCCATGGGCGCAGTCATGTTCATCTGCATGCGCACAATCTCCTTTTGCTTCTTCTCGTTCTCGCGCCTCCTCTCGCGCTTCTTCTTGGAGCCCTCCTTCTCCTTGATCCTTTGCAGCTCCTCCTGAATCCTGAGCTCCTCATCCATGTTCTCTACTGTCGCAACCTCCTCGTCGACAGCCGCCTTCTGGGTCTTCTTGGAGGGGAAGCCGAAGATCTCTCGTACTTTTAGACGCCATTTCAAGAGGAGCTTGAACTCTTTCCTGCCGAGCACCTTGAGATCGGCGCAGCAGAGACGGATTTCCTCGGTCGTTTCGGGGAGTTTGTCGAGGGCAGCCAACGCTACGTCGCCGTTCTTGGGTTGCTCAAAGCTGAGTTTGTTGTACTGGCCGAGAATGGCGATGGGATCGACAGTGTTGATGAACTCGCTGGCAGAAATCTCCTTGAACTGGATATACTCTCCCTCCTCGTAACCTTCTCTCTTTCTCTTCTTGATCTCGGGGTTGTACACCTTGGCTTCGTTGTTGGGGGCGGGGCCGGCCACATCCTCGAAAACGGAGCGGGGATCGAGAAGCTTGGGATCAATGCGCTTGGGGGCCTTGAAGCCGCGGCAGACGACGAAGATTTCGGCGGAGACGTTACGGGACGAAGGGGGCTTCGTAGCCTCGACCTTGGCGAAAAGCTGGTTGCAAACCCAGAGAAGGGAGTTGTAATCCTTGGATCTGAAAACCTTGGTGACGAAAGTACCACCCTCGACAAGGAATTCAGTGGCCAGCTTCAGCGAGTGCAGAGCAAGTTCGGCCTGGTTGTACGAATCCTGAACCCAAGCGGTACCGACGTTGGGCGCACCATCGTGGAGGACGACGTCGGCCTTCCATGTCTTGAGATGAGTGCGGATAGTCGCGCGGCACTTTTCGGTGGTAATATCGCTCTGGAAGGTAATGACCTTGGGAATGGGCTTGATGGGAGCGAGATCGACACCGATGATGATGGAGTTTGTCGGCATAGTCTCGGCGCAGACTTGACACCACGACTAGGGACGGACACAGACACGGTTAGTTCACCCCATGATGGACTTGGGGTTAATAACTTACACCGGGCGCAGCGCAAAGATCGAGGGCGACCTTGCTCTTCTCGAGGAAGCCATACTTCTTGTTGAGCTGGATCAGCTTGAAGGCGGCACGGGCACGATAACCCTTCTCCTTGGCAAGCTTGTACCACTTGTCAAGACGGCCCTTGCCGTGTTTCTTTTGAATCGCCATGGTGTCGGTGCTCTAGTCGGGTAATGGCCGACTGGTGTTGTTGAGCAAGACGACCTGGTGACTTGGTGGAAATGCAGTGGCCTTTGACTTCCCTCCAGCACTCGCAGCGCAGGGATTGCAGGGTCGTCGTTGCAGGATGATTTTTTTGGATGGCGGCTGCAGGGCGATAAGCGATAAGGAACTGGACTCCAACTGAAGTCTCCAACGGCTGGTGGGGCAACGACCAAGACGGCCCCGTCAGAGTGGGTCAGACATGCGCGGTTGAACGGCAGTGCATTGACCAATCTTCATGTCTCCAGCGACCGCGATTATGGGACGAAAAGCCATCAAGCTTTCGCGATCCAGCGCGTCATTTGTTCCGCGTCTCGCGTTCCTGATGGAGCACTAAACCGCATACCTTCTAGGGCCCCCCGGCCGCTGCGGACCACACGCCCAGCCTTTGCCCACTGGAGGTGTTCAGAGTTCAGGTCCAAGGTCAGGTTTGGCTGTCGATTTGGTTGCCCGGCAAACTCAGACTCAGCGAAGCGACAACTGAAGCACGCAAATCCACAACAGAAACCGAATCCCCGCCAATTCCATCATTTCCACGCATTCAATCTCAAGTAACTGAAGGCATCTCGGACACAGACACCGACATACATAGACACCACTTCACCCAGAGACTCCATCGACCACTTCGGCCAACCAATAGACTCAACGCCAATACCTAACCCCCCGGCCGCCTACCTCGTCTCTCAACGACGACCTCCCGTCCTTCTTCAAGCTCAGCCTTTCTGCACATGCACATAGCCTAGCCTGCAACTTCGATTATCCAACATCCAGTCAACAATTGCCAGCGATACCTCTGCGCCAGCTATGCTCAACTGACTTTGTACAAATATCCATCACCGCGGCCTGTTCTCTGTCTCCGTGTACCCTTCCCATCGGCGGCCCCTCGCTGCCAGGTCGCGCGCATCCAGCGTCGCCGGCCCCGTACACCTCGTCTCTATCTTGTTGCATAAGAGAATTCTTTCGCCATGGCCGATAACCCCAACAGCGCTTCAACCCCTTTGGGAGTCAAGAGCTCGTCGTCGTTGAACACTAGCAACAATATCCCCCCAATCCCATCCTCTCCTCCTCCGCGAAGCTCAGCCAAGGAACGTCGAAACCCGTCCATCACCCCCAGGAAATTCAGGCGCTTCTTTACTCCCCGAGTCATAGCCAACAACAACCCCAGCGCTTCCCAAAGGGCTCTTCGTGATCTAGCCGGTCCTCTCCTAGAACGATCCCATACACCATCCAGCCCTCTCAGGCCCATCTCGGAAGAGGAAATCCCCGATGTGTTACCGAGCCTTCAAGATGGCCAGAGGAGCTCTAAGCGTCGAAAGATTACCCATGCTTCAACACCCAAGAGGGCTGAGGCATCTCACGTATCCCACCTACCCTCTCCTGCGGCCACATCCCCAGCGTTACTTCCGACTCCCGAGTTGAGGCGCCATCGCCTCGGCAGTCCCATCCATTCTATTCGAAAGCTGCCATCCCAATTGGCCCTCGATGAAGATGAGGCTGAGTCGGAAGAAAGTGATGATGATGATGAGCAAGAGTTGCCAACCACACGGCGTCGGCCAAACCGGGCGCCTATACAGTTGGACCGTCGGGGAGTGGGAGCTCAACTGGTGCAGCGAATGACAGGTGGTATGCCTGGTGCTGGAAACAGGACTATGTCATGCCCAGTTTCCGGTATGTGATTTTACAAAAATATATCTCGGGCGAGCGAGCTCATGCTAACTCGGTGAACAGACTGGAGATCGGAAACAGCAGACTTTTATAGTCGCCGTGAAGACGCTCACTTTATGACCAGCCACGAAGGACACCCTCGCAGCATCCCATTCTGCACCACAAGCTGCAATAGTAAGTCAGCATGCATCATGTACTGAGATATTCCGTTTGCTAACCACCTCAAAGCCAAGAGTCTTGTTGCTGTAGGTGACGAGGAAGGGTATGTGCGTCTGCTAGACACCCAGAACGAGTTCTCTCAGATCAACATGTCGTTCCAGGCGCATGGCAACGCCATCATTGACATGGCCTTCTCCGACGATGACTTGCTTCTTGCCACAGCTTCTGGTGACCAAACAGGCAAGGTACTGGACTTCGTAACACAACAGCCCATTTCGATCCTAGGTCACCACACCGCATCCCTCAAACAAGTCCGTTTCCAGCCGGGCCGCGGCGCCAATTCTGTCCTTGCAACCACTAGTAGAGATGGCAGCGTACAGATTTGGGATCTCCGTTGCCGAGGCGGTCCTGTGCAAGACGTTGCTATCCGCTCAGAAGCTGGCCTTCACGCTCGTCTTCCTCGCACCCCTAACCCGGGCTGCGTCGTTAACAGCATCTATGATGCCCACTCACGCATTCCCCAGAAACAGGCTCGCAATCTGCTTCCCGGCGCCAGTAACGTCGACGTGGCCCGGATAGGCGAGGTACCTGGTCGCCTTGGTGAAGTCTCCGTCACCGCTCTCCAATTCCTTCCTCCTGGTAGGGAACACCTCTTCCTCACAGCGTGCGAAGCCGACGCCAGCGTCAAGCTCTGGGACATCCGCGCCGTGCACACCAGCCGCCACCACAAGTACAGCACGCCCGTCTCCTTCACAGCGCCCCTGCCCAGCCACGCCAATTGGCGTCCCTTTGGCATCTCCTCCATGGCCCTCGGCGGCGACGGCTCCCGCCTCTACACCCTCTGCAAAGACAACACCGTCTACGCCTACAGCACCGCCCACCTCGTCCTCGGCCACGCCGTCGAGCTCGCCGCCGCCCGTCCCGGCGAGGAACCCCCGCGCCGTCGACACCACAACCACGGCACCGCGCACGAGGGTCTCGGTCCGCTCTACGGCTTCCGCCACCGGCTCTTTCACGCAACTAGCTTTTACGTGAAATCCGCCATCCGGCCCGCTAGGAACGGCCACTCGGAACTTCTCGCAGTCGGCAGCAGCGACGGCGCCGCCGTCCTCTTCCCCACTGACGAGCGCTACATCAAAGAAGCCTTCGCTTGGCAGCGCCAGCACCCCGGCCAACAAGAAGACGACGAGTCCTACCTCGTCGGCGAACCCACATCATGCATTCCCGTCACGCCCGCTCGTCCGCGTCTTACCCGGAGCGCTACCACCTCCCTTCTGTCTTCGTCATCCTTGTTCTCCATGTCCTCCTCGTCAGGAGGAGGACGACCGGGAACTAGCTCCTCAGCGAGCTTGTTCGGCATCAAGGGCGGTCATCATCATCAGTCATCAAACACGCCCATCATCCGCCGCGGCACGCCGCTTGTGCGCGGACACGAGAAGGAGGTGGGCGCGCTTACGTGGGCGCTGGATGGCAGCTTGGTGACGGCCAGCGACGATTACCTTGTGCGCTGCTGGCGCGAGGGTCGCGAGGAGGCGGCGGATTTGAGAACTGGTGGTGAGACGGGCGGGAGGAGGTGGGGGTGTGGATGGGCGGATGTGGGGGATCAGTGGGATGGGGATGTTGATGATTGGTGATGGATGGGGTGGGAGAGATGTGTGGTGAAGACGAAACAAGAGAAGAGAAGAGGAGAGGAGGATACCACGGCACGACAGTGCGGTGCGTCTCTGTTCGTGAACCGTTGTCTAAGTTGTTGGGAGTTGTGGTGGAAGTCAGTTGTTCAAGTCCACATTGATGATCACGACGATCATGACGATGATGATTAGGTCTGTCTGTCAGGCTGCTGTTTCGGACGATTAAAGAGGAGGAGGATTCCTTGAAGATATCCTTTTGTTGTTGTTGTTCTGTTGCTTGTTGTGGGCGTCTGGTAGCGTATGTATGGTTGAAACTTGACTTAACTTAGCGAGAAGGTGAAGCTACTTACTTTCTGACAACAAACGAAACAAATCAAATTCACATGAATTCACAAATGTGGCACGCACGCACGCGCTCATAGTTTGGTCTCTGTGGCGGGCGGCTTACGGCGGGAGGTCGCTTCTTGCCGTTCGCTTCTTTGTGACATCTTGTTCTCTCGGCTGAGTCCTACATGCGTAAAATATCTATCCCCAAGGCATCGATCGCATCTGAGAAAGTCTTAACTAACCAAGCACAGTTGAGTTGAGCTTAACATACAAACGAAACGAGACGAGGCTTGGTGCAGTGGTAGCGTAATGGTAAAGTTTAGTCTTGACAAGACAGACAAGTGTGGGATGGGAACTAATCATTATCTAAAAGTGGTACAAAAGCGTCATCACTGCTCACCGGACTGCTTGCTGTAAAAGAGGGTTTTCAAGAAAAATGATGTAGTGAATGGACGGCACTCATGAACTTGAAGTTGGCTGCCCTGGGGATAGATAGATATAGCCGTTGCAGTCTGTTCTTGCCCTGCGTTTGTATGATAGTTAGAATGAATATCCGTTCAGTGAAGCAGATGAGGATTTAGAATAGTCATCTTAACATAAGAAAGAGTCTCCATGGCTTCGGGGCCTGATTCTAGCTAGTTTCTTTCTCTCACAAGTAGTTAGGTAAGTGTAAATACTCCAAACCACTTCTATAGTCTCGTTTACGGAGAGGTAGCTAGCTGATGGCAACAGCATTGACGTATCCTTCTGCTAGTTTTAGCTGTAACGTACAAACAGCAATAATTTGCCAGAGTCAGTCACCGTAACCATCAGGTACCTAGCGAAGGGTGTAAAATAAAGCATGCTGAAATCTCTTCATTGTTCTCATTCAAGGAAACGACTAGCTACTAAAGTAGTAAGCTGATACTCCCTCCCTCCCTCCCTCCTTTGACCCTCTCGCTGCTTTCTATCTCCCTCCTAGCCCTATCCATCTTGACTTTCCCCCTTGTTGCCTTCCTCCCATCCCCCCCCCCTCCCCCTCCCCTGTAAACTACCTCGCAGTAGTTACCCTGATGGGCCTCCTGGCCTTTCCCTCCCTCCCCTCTCCGATATTGCGTGTGCGTGCCATGCGTACGTGTAGCGACTAATTAAGGAAACAAGGAAAAGACTTCAAAAAATCAAAAACGCCCGCACCATTCGATCGCTCTCAGGGAAAAAACAAAACTAACTCCGCGCGTTCTCTCCCCCCATTTTTGTTGGAAAAGGGCATAACTGAGACTGAGACCGAGAGGAGGAAAAACAGAAAAGCGAAACAAGCGAAACAAGACAAGTAAATGCAAACGCAAAAGCAGAAAGACAGGCTGAAACAACAAAGCACCCAAGCCAAACGGAAAACACAAAAGACGAGCGATGGAAAGTTCCTTTTTGCTTGAAAAGACAATCTGGTTGCGGGATGATAGATGTAATGAGGAGGATAAACTAAATAGTAGGCTTTAGTTTTTGGTTTGGCTGACTGACTTGACTGATTGTAATGCGTAGTATGGATGATGACCTCGGCGACTGATGAAAGACGGGAGAGAAAACCAGACCATGTACAAGAGAGTTGTTGGAATTAAGATAAGATGGTATTATAACCGGTGGGGAATTTCAGTTTTGGGTGTTCGCCTTTTTTTCCTTTGAACCCCAATGTTTCTTCCAAGTTCTTCCTACTCCTTTCCCTGCTCTCACTCCCTCTTTGCCGCCTTAAAACTTCCCTCTCTCTCTCCATTGATGATTGATTCCCTTTTGCCGAATGGCGTCCCCTTTTCCAGGAGGTTCGTTCGACTTTTGCTCCCGACTTGGCACGACGGGAGGAATGATGCTGATCTTGGTTCGGTTTGTCGTCGAGGACAAAACAGGGAGTTCCCTCCTTTTGTTCTGTAATTCTCCGTCCACCGTTGGAAAAACCCTTGCTCTTCCTTTGCTAGAAATAACCGCCGTGGTCGAGAGGCTCCATTTTCGTTAGGTCACATTGCTGCTGACCATTGCGCCCCTTGGTATGGGGGGGAGTGAGGTCGGATACAAGGCTTAAAGATCGGGAGCACGCTGACAGCAACGAGCAGTCTGGAGCAGGAAGCTTGTGAAAAAAAAAGACTGAGGACAAAGGAAACGAATGAGGGAACACTGCAAAAAGTAGCAGCCAATCAAGCAGGGGGGGTATGTGCGTGTGCGCGTGGTGGGTGTGATGTAGATACAAATGCAGAATCGAATGTGCCAGACTTGTGTATATAGAAAAAGGAGCTCGTTTCGTCATTATTCAGCGTAGTGCTCGAGGACTACCAGAAAGCCAATGATAGCAGAGTCACGGCTTGATTGTGGCGGACGACGATATAAAGGACCAAAGGTCGTATTGGTGATCGATGGGTTTGATAGGTTGTAGGTTGACTAGAAAGTCGAGTATTGGATGGCCAAGTTCTGGAACCTAGCGCTCACATAACTATACAGCATCCGCATCCTCCCTTCTCCTTCTTCTGAGGCGGATCCTCGGGAGGCTCTGGTACCCTGATCACCTGCGATGGGTGAGGAGGCTGTGGGGGGTTCTTCGGGCTGGGGACCGTGGTCAAAGCAGGCTTGTCCGCGATCTTGGGCATTGTCGAGTAGGAGTCCTTCCGTCCGGGCATTGTCGAGTAGGAGTCCTTCCGTCCAACGGGAGCCGGGCTCCGGGGGCTCTGAAGGCTGTGGAGACTCGGAGGAGGTGGACTCTGAGGACATTGAGGCTCGGCGGGTTTCAAAGGCCAATCTGCCTGCGGATCTTCCTTTTCGTTTTCCTTCTCCTGTTCTTGCTCGTTCTCGTTCTCCGCTGGTTCATGTTCAGGCGCAACAATAGGATGTTCGGGTGGCTCGAGGAAGCCTTCGTCTGTGAGTGGCCTAAACTCCTTGTCGAAGACGGTGCCAACCTTGCCCTCCCGTTCCCACTTCTCCTGTTGTAACCGCTTGGCCACCGTTGGTAGCAGCTGTTGCTCTGGTGGCAGACGGGGGTCAGGGCGAAATGCCGAAACCATCCAGGGTGGTTCACCTTCCATCGGCTTGTGCGTTGTGGGCGAGAGCTCTCGGTCACCGGAACGCGTCGTTGGCCGAGCACCTGTTGAATCCTTGTTGGATGCACCTCGTGTTCCGGTTCGCGGTCGCGTAGTTGTGGTAGTCGCAGCCTTGCCGGAAACCTTCTTGGCTCCCGCAGCCGGCTTGCTTTTGATGGGAGAGGTGTCGGCCCGCTTCGCTATAGGCCGGGCGTCGGTTCCATTGGCCGCCTTTGTAAGGGCGTTGCCTGTACTGCCGCTCCGTCCTCGTGTTTTCGGATAGGTTATCTTTTCCTTATCTTCCTCAGGACTGCTATCCCGTTTCCGCGCGTAGGCAGCGACCTTCTCGTCAGTTGGCGTTGTTGGGTAAGTCTTGGTTCTCGGCACAGGAATCCGGGATGTTACTTTAGCGCCGGGGTTCGACAAACTAGAATCAGCGTGCTCAGCACCATCATCGGCTCGCTTGTCCCAGTCCTGCGTGGCTGACGAGTTCTTTCTAGACCTCGAGCCGATGTGCTCACCGCCGCCAATGGACCTAGCCTGACCGCTAAGCTTGTCCTGGCTTTGATCCCTCTTCAAACGGTTCGCGCTTTTCGACCGTGACCTGTTGTCTCTCGCTACAGGCAAGACGAATCCCGCAGCCTGTAGTTCCTCGTTCTCAATCTGGGCGAGCTTGTCACGGTGAATCCATTTGCTCTCGTCGGTTTCCGGATCGAACAAACTGTCGGCGGGACTCCCGCCCTCCTTGGCGCTTCGAGGCTTCAAGTCCTTGTGATGCGACGGCACGAGATAGCCGGAGTCGGTATTTGTAAACCCGGCATCGTCGGCTACATCCCCGTTATAGTGGTCGTACGCGAGCGAGTCCATGGGTGGTGTGTTGTTGGTGGCGAGCAAAGTCGAATTCCTCTTTTGAGAAGCTAGGACAGGGCGGCCAAAGGGGTAGCCGTTCTCATTGTTGATGGAAGATCTCTTGGGATTGACAGGCTTCTAGAAGGGGAAGGAAAGGAGGATGTTAGTGGATGAATGGAAATGGATGACGCTATGCGATGGCAGCAGCAGGCACCAGGGCAGGGTGTGGACACGGGGAGAGAAAGATGGAAAAAATGGATGGATGGGCGAGATGCACGCAGGCAGCCTCGATGGTCAGGAGCACGACGAAGGCCTCAGGCGCGTGGTGTTTCCGGGGCCAGGAGTAAAAAAAGGAAACTGGATGGTAAAACGAGATGCGGGGAACAGGGGATATTGCGTGTAATCTCCCGAATTACCAAGATATCATGATGGACTCATGGACTCACCTCCGAATGGACGGGCACCGACAGGCTGCTGTCCCACGAGTCGTACTTGTTGCCGTGGGATGTGGCTGGCGGCGTCGTCAAGGCAGTTGCAGTCCGGGAAACGGTAGCCATCATGCTAATATCATCTGCAGCGCCTATAGACGCCGCGGCCGCTCTCCCGGTTGGAGTCGAGGCGGGCGAAGGCTGGGTATTGTATTGCAGAATTTGACGTCGGGGGAGACGACGAAGTGGATCGGGGATCAGGACCGTGGGTAGCGATACGTATGTAATGGTTGAGACAGAGTTTGCTGTTTGGCTGGGCGTGGGAGGAGAGACGGGGTCAGGAGGACGAAGCGGGAGGTTGGTGTTCAAAACTAAGCGACGAGGGTCGGGGGCAGCGACCGACGGGGGCGGAGAGTCTCAATTCGGAATCGGCATCGACGATAAAACGGGGCAAGCGGGTGTTTGACGAGCGAAAAAAAGCTGCACTCAAATGGTACACTACACAATTCCAGTTACAATTGCCTGTTCCGACTGGATAATGCGTTATACTTGTGACGGCGAACGGCGATCAGTGCGCGTCTTCGTTGGCCTTTTGTCGCAGGTTGGTGGCCTCGTTGACTTGTCGCTTCAACGGCGGTCAGTGGGTGGATTGTACGGATTGGATAGTGTGCTCTCTAGAGTGGCACCATGGATCGTGAATGGGCGATGGATCTTTTTGCCTCCTTTTGAATGGCCGGGTCTCGGAGCCTCTCGTGCACCTTGGTCGAGCTTGGCAAAGGTAGCGGTACAAAAGCGGTGCAAAAGCGGTGCAAGGGGTGACAGCAAGTGTGCGTCAGCCGTATGTGATGTCCATGTATCAAGGGTCCCGTCTTTGCTGCAATATAATTATGGGCCTATGCAGGCACTTTTAGAAAGATTGTTTCGTTTCCAAGCAGCACCGTGAAAAGTGAAAACGTGGTTACCCGACCGTTTGGTTCCTTGTTTGGTCCATACAGTTTGTTTCCTCTCACGCTTCCTGTGGATGTGAGAAGTGGAATTCATGCAATTTTTCTGACCCAAAAAGTACGGGGTAATACTGGGGCTACCTCTACAGCTCGAGAGAACTGACGAGACTGTGACCCTATCACCACTCTTCACGCCCATTATTGGCTGCTACAGTCGCGTAGGAATCTATCTCGTGAAAATTTGGAACACAAGTTTGCGCATTGTTTTGTTGTTAAAGTGTTTAATTGGAATGCCTGCCTGTTATGTCGGGATCCATGAGCAGAAGCGAGTCGAAGAGCAAACGCTGATCCCAGCGGACAATCCCACCCTGCCAAGATGAGATGCATGTCCACCGATCATCTTTCTTGACTGCTGCGCCCATCTCCTGTCCTTGTACTTCTTCTCTTGTTCCTCCAGATTCTTCCCGTGTCGCTCAAATTTCAAGGCGGGAATGGCGGCCCTCCTCCCTCACTTTATTCTTTCCCCTTTTGGCACAATCTAAGCGTGACGAGCTTTCACTAGTTCGCACCAGAACAAAAACCTGACACCAGGGTGAGGCTTCCATTGCGCCTGTGATAATTACAAGTTGCCATCCAGATCCATCAAAGTCGCGAGCTGGAACAATCCAGCGAGGCGGATGCTACCCCGTTGAAATTAGTGCTATGCGATGGCCATCTGATTGGTAGACGAGTGTCATTGCTACGCCGTCATCGTCCGTTTGCAGCATCTGCTCAAGGTTGCCTGCGAATTGTTAGTGCACTATCAGGGAAGCCCGCTATGCGTGAAGAACCTGACATACCTGTTTTGACCGAGTCCCGGAGAGAGAGCGCCGGGCCGGTGCTGTTGCGGGCCCCTCCGTTGCAGTATACCGCCCGCGTCTTGGATGGACGGTAGAAGTACCGCTCGGCCGTTACGGCACGGGTCGAAGATCGAATCTGCGGAGCTACCCGCTCGGTCATGGCCGTGGCGGCGTCGCCGGGTTGATGAAAGGATGGAAGTGACTTGTTGCCAGCCATAACTTCTTTGTTTACCACTGCAATGGCTCCTGCCGCCCAGCGCAACGAACTGAACTGACGGGTAACTCCGGCATCGTGACAGGAACGGCCGACTGGCCAGGACTCGCAAGTCGCAGAGTCACTGCTTGCAGGGTCCTCGAACCAAAGCACGAGAAGCACGGCGAAAACGTACTTTAAACTGTTAATGCCCGTTGCCAAGACACATTACTGCGCGTTAAGGCATGCATAGGGAAGCAACTGTAAAGCTTTCTCACAGCTCATTTTCTGTGCTGAATAGCCAGGCTGTAGCGAATAACGGGTGAACTCGGCTAACAGTTTTCCAACTCATCTGAACATATGCGTTTTGCGACGTTAACACGCGGTTGGACTCGGGCGATCTGCCTGTTTTGCTTTTGACATGTAACAGAATTCAAAGCTCTTCAGCCTCACATAAGGTCTGCCGCCCTATGTTCATGGTACGTGCTTGTAGAGGTAAGAAAATACGGCGGATGTTCTTCGTCATCGTCATTTCCACTTCCATCTTGTTACTCAACCGACTTCGGTGTGGGGAGGGGCGTTTCTTAAGCCAGACGGTTCGAGTTTCCAAGGTCCAGGCCGTCGAGACCGTTCTTTCCATCGCCCGCTTCAACCCCAACCCTGACTGATAGCTGCCAAGTACCCATGACCTGACCTCCACGCACTCGGACTACCTCACCTCAGTTAGGTTTCCCCCACCACCATCACGTCGACAGTATCCGTCCCTTTTTGGTGATCTGCTACATTTCCACTTGTTTTCTGCGCCGAGTCCTATTCTAGCCCATCTCGGCCCTCAACTTCTCATTGCCCTTGTTGCAAGCTCCGACTGCGAGCTGCCCGAGGACAAAGCCCCATCAAAACCCGTCCCGCACCGCCCATACATAGAGAGCTAGCCTCACAGCTCCAGCTGCGTGCCACTGCACCCCCTTCAGGTCCCTGAACCTCACCAATTTGTGGAACCCCTCATTGGCGGCGACCGACAGGAACATTTTCAAGATGCCAGGTGAGTCCCGTAACTTTTCCACCACCAGACCTCCATCTTTTCTCCAATGCCTTGCCCTTATCTACCTTGAGGCGGGGCTCGTGCGACGGGTACCTACCTCTACCACCTGCCGCTGCCTACCCCTGGGACTGCGATACCAGGTAGAGCTGCCGCCTCTGCTCGTCCCTACAAGGTCGATGCTTCCTCGCCTGTAGATGCTGGGTTCCACCTCCCCGCTGCCACGAAACAGCTAGCCAATTGCGGTCCCGAATCCAAAGCCTCGCCAGACATTTGTCCCTCGAGGTTCCTCGCACCCGATACTTCGACTTCGTGCTGCCACTTCACTCTTTTGCTGGCAATCCTCCAGGACGGAAATCCTTCAAGACCTTATCCGTTTTCCACCAAACCATTTCTCGCCCTTCCACCTCGAGGCCGCACGAACCGGGACCGCCTGACCCAGCTAGACACCGCTCGCCGCCCTTGCCAGCACCGTCTACCCACCTACAGCCCATCACTCGCTCGCGCTGCCGCTTGCTTCGTCTCTTCCAAAACTAACAACATGCCAGTCAACTTTGAAGATCCCTGGTTCAAGGGCCAGGAAGTGTAAGTTGACCTTGGGCTCCCAATGCCGATTATTGAACCTTCAGTCGTTAACCGCCCACGGGGTAGATCCTACAACGTATCCGAGCTCCAGGAATGCGCCATCGCCGTCGACGCGTCATACTTTCTCCGACAGCTCCTCGAACAAGCGGAAAACTATAATGAACCGTTGCTGACCGCCCTCGGAGGCCTTACCGGCATCCAGGCGCGCATACAAGTCGAATTGGACAACTGGCTCAGGAACCGCACAACCCCCTTTTTCATTTTCGATGGCCAACCTATGGTCGGACAAGACGAGGTCACCACCAAGCAGGGTCGGGAGATCCAGAAACAAACCGGTGTTGCGTGGAAGCTCTATAGCGAAGGCCAAGCCGAGGCAGCTGTGGCCGCTTTTGGCGAGTGTGCGAGTAAGTCTTCTATAGCCTGGCTCGCACGGTTGAACATTAGCTTACAGGCCAAGGTCTATACAACATCCAGGCCCTGTATCCCATGCTTCAAGATGAGCTGAGGCTGCGGAAACTTCACTTCTTGGTCGCACCTCTCAATGCTGCTGCGCAGATCGCATACCTGGACATGATCGATTCTGATCAATGCGGCGGCATCATGGGCCCCTTGGAGCTGATGCTCTATCCTATTCAAGACACCGTCATTCGCTCAATCGACTGGACCAGCAACACTTGCGCGGCCATCTCCAAGAAGAACGTTATGAAGGTGCTCAACGTCAGCGAGCCACACTTCATTGACGCCTTTCTCATGACCGGCACCCCCTTCCTTCCTCCGTTCCCGCCGCTCACGGATTCTACCCTTGTCAAGAGCCAGCCTTATAACATTGTGGATGCCATCAACATGCTCCGGACAGCCGACAAATCAGTCACGATGGTCAGCACTACCTTCCACGATTTGATCAAGAACCAGGATCCTACTTGGCTGGATAAGTATCGCAAGGCATGGATGGCTGTCAAGCACTTTGTTTACATTGCGGAGAGCGGCGAAGTCAAGGTTCACGACGCGGACCACCTAACAAACGACAACCACGAGTATCTAGGCCTCCAGATTCCCTGGGAGATGTTCCACTACCTCAACACTGGCTTGATTGGGCCTCGCCTTCTGAGCTGGATCACGCACAGCCAAGTATACGTCTTGCCGACGCTGGACGGTTCCGCTACGGAGGAATACAAGAAGCTCGTCTCGAGCCAACTCATTCCTCTTGAGGAGACTGCGCTTAGCTTGGTGCTCGCCCGGTTGCACCGTGGTATCGTTTACAAGGATATCAAGGCGAAGGTTTGGTATGATGATAGCTATTCCGCCACTGTGCTCGACCATCGTCATGAAGCCAGGACCAAGACCAACTACGGAGTACAAATGGCCACTTGGGGAGTTATCAAGGAAGCGGACATTAAGCAGCATTTCCCCGGCTTCGAGCACGGTTCGATATTTTCCGAAGTGCATGCTTTGACGAAGCCTGATTTTGTCAAGCTTACCTTTGCCGAGCAAAAGAACAAGGCGAGGAATGTTGAATCAGCGAGCATCATCAAGTCGATTTGTTTGTGGAGATATCTCCATATCCGCGGCTATATCGACGACCAGCACAACTTGACTAACTGGGGCAAGGCTTTGGACCGCGCCATGGTCGCGCTGGAGCCAGTGGTGAAGAAGTTCCCTACGGTTCCCTATCTCTACGAGTCGGTGCTTGTTGCCATGGAAATGGTCAGATTTGGACTTCTCAACGGCAGTCTCAAGGTTGTGGAGCCTCTGAGTCTCCCTATGCACGGCGATGACGATGACAAGTCTAGTCTGATGTTGATCAGCCGCTGTGCGACACTGCTTAAGCTGCGACACCAAGCTAATGGATACACTGGTCCTCTGAGTAAGAATCTGTTGACGTTCCACTCCTTGGCTGGCGAGGTTAGGAGTGCTGAACGCGCTTTGATGGAGGCCATTTTGGCTTCTCTTTTCCTCTACGGCCAGGGACAGCGGAAGAGGGATGATAGCTGGGAGCTCAGCCACCAGTACGTTGGACCCTCTATTTACACGTGCTTCTACTCTTGAATCTTGTATGATGATTGCTGACTTGGACATTTAGGCTTCCCTTCCTCTTCAACCCCGATGTCGCTCTCGGAATTGCCGTCAAGACGTACTTTGACGAGACGATCAACTGGAACAGTGAGAAAGAGAAGACGGAGAGGCTGGCGACGTTCCCCGATGCGTTCGTGCCTTACTCTATGGCATTTAGCGAAGACCTGGAGGTTGCGTGCGAATTCTTCGAAGCCGTGTATGCCGGTCTGCAGACGCTGGACGGCCAGGGCATCTCGGCCAACGATTTGAAGGCTTGGAGCAAGGCGAAAGAGTATCTGGCACCGCGGACACTGAAGGATGCGAGTGGCAACTAGAAGAGCCCACCCTCCCGACGTAAAGCGCGTGCTGTGAGAGATTACTTTGGTTTTAATGTGTAAGTGAGGCACACTATGCTTGTACGCGCATGCAATGTTGCAAGCCACATCTATTCGGAAGAAGGGTCCAGCTTGGTGGTATTGCTGCCAAGATCTTACGCACGCCCACTATATCTCAAAGAAGCAATTAAAATATTCAAGAGGCAAAAGGCCGCGTAACTACCGGGTCCAAGGTATTGAATATGGTGTGGTGGTGCGCAGGTTTGGTGGTTAGGTTGTTGGTGAAAGGGGCAGGGGTGTAGGTGCTGGGTCGTCGTGGATTCAGCGACCCCCTGTCGTGGCGGTTTTTGTCTAGACTGCATAGAGCAGGCCGCTAGAACTACTACTGCCCAGTAAATATCTGATAGGATGACGAGGCCTGTGACAACGTCTCGTTGACTTACGACAACAAAGTAGATATACGATAGCGTATAAGACGGTGGGCTGTGCCAGTGGGCTGTGCCAACAGGTATCAGGACTTCGGTCGCATACAGCTCAGCGCGGGGCAACGCGCGTTGGCAATTGATGAATGAAAGTTTAAGAAGTCGAGTCGGGTCGGGAGACTGAGCGTGTGATCATTTTAACAGTTTGTGACACTAAAGTTCCGTCGGTTAGGAACTTCCCGCCCTTACATCCCTCCCCTCATCCATCACCTGCCACTTCTTGCCTTGCACAAATAACTTGATTTCAAGAGTACCACACCATCATCAACTTTCTGCACGGCATAGTTCACTATTGAAAGACCACTGTTCACTTGCCCGTAGCAAAGTGTATAGTCGATGGCTGTTATCGGTTGTTAGTCCCACAGTATGACACGGATCAAGATGACGTCGGGCACAACCCCACCCGTTACCGACAGTTCAACATCAACAACATCAACATCAGCAGGTACAACCACAACAACAGGAAGCACCTCAACAGCAACGCCGGCAACAGTACCGTTAACGCACCCGACTCCAGTACCGACTTCGAGACCGCAGCCTTCGTCACCAGCCGGGAGCTACTATGCCATGAGCGACGACGAGGAAGGCGATTATAACACCATCACTCACACCTCTACGGGGAGAGGGGTGAAACTCCTATACACCAAGAGCAAGGTTTGAACTGTCCCGGTACCCTTATTTTATCACCACAACACTAACCGAAAAATCCCAGGTCTACATCCACCCGACACCATCCGCAAAAGATAATATCCCCGGCTATATCGCGCTTCTCCAACAAAGAAACCAACACCGCGATGACCGGGAGGACTCGAGCAACACCCCGGCATCTTCGGACCTCCTCCTCGCCTGGGTCCCCGAATCCCAACTAGGCGAAGCAGCCAACCTCTACGTCAAAGTCGACCTCTGCGACGGCGACTCGCCACCGAAACAGTCCTACCTCGTGCCTCCCCCGCCGACCGTCACCACCCACCGCGGCTCCGTCGGGCCCTATGCCTTCGCCATCCCCGTCAGCGCCATCTACAGCCTCCTGATCCGCCCGCCGAGCGTGGGCTGGTGGTGGGGCAGCATCATCATCAACAGCCGGGCCGGCGACAGTTTCCCGGCGCTTTTTTTTCATGACAGCGAGTGCCAGAGCACCATACTACAGAAAAAGAAGCGGACGGCGGATACTTTTGATCCCTTTGGCGAAGCGGGGCAGATGTTCTGGGGAGGGGATGAAGTGCTGCGGTGGCTGAGGCGGTACGTGCAGATTGAGCGGAGCGGGGCCGAGCCGAATATTTACCTTGTTGAGCCGTCGAGGGAGGATAGTGTTGCATTTGGGGGGAAGCCTACTACAAATACGGCGGCACAGGCGGGATCTTCCCGTGGAGACCCAGGCGCCAAGGACAAGGACGCCGGCATGGACCCGTTCGTCAAGCTGATCAAGGAAGCCGGTTGGAACCTGATGGAGAAGTTCAGCAAGGTGACTACCTTCACGCGGCAGGCGGCCAACGATGTCTTGGATAACCCGCGCGTGCCGCCGCAGATGAGGAGGCTGCTGAGAAACCCGGAGGTGCAGACGCTGCAGGACGAGTTCGACAGCGCGAGGATTTACCTGGCAAGGTGGGCGATGGGTATAGCGGAGCAGAGCGATAGGGATCGGAGTAGGAGGACGTGGACGGCGCGGGATGTCATGGAGCTGGAGGATACGGACGTGGGCGAGTTTGAGCTGGTGGATGGGGCGAATAGCTTGTCCCTCGAAGAGAGGAGGAGGGTGTTGACGCTGAAGGAGTGGAAGGGATTCTTTGATGAGAGGACGGGGAGGTTGAGTGTTACTGTTGATGAGGTCAAGGAGAGGATCTTTCATGGCGGGCTTGATCCTGAGGATGGGGTGCGGAAGGAGGCGTGGTTGTTCTTGCTTGGGGTTTATGATTGGTACAGCACGGCGGACGAGCGCAAGGCACAAGCGGCATCGTTGAGAGACGCTTACATCAAGCTCAAGGGCGCCTGGTGGGAGCGTCAGGTTGATCTGGGTGGTGAAGGTGAGGAGGGCGAGTGGTGGAGAGAGCAGAGGAACAGGATAGGTAAGTCTCCTTTTACAACACATCAACGTTCAGCTTTACACCAGAGATTCCTAACCCACTTTACTTACAGAGAAGGATGTTCACCGAACAGACCGAAACGTCCCCATCTTCGCCGGCGAAGATATCCCCCACCCCGACCCCGACTCCCCCTTTGCCTCCACCGGCACCAACGTCCACATGGAGCAACTGAAGGACATGCTCCTAACCTACAACGAGTACAACAAAGGCCTGGGCTACGTCCAAGGCATGTCCGACCTGCTCGCCCCCATCTACGCCGTCCTGCAAGACGACGCCCTCGCCTTCTGGGCGTTCCAGCACTTCATGGACCGGATGGAACGCAACTTCCTCCGCGACCAGTCCGGCATGCGGGCCCAGCTCCTGGCGCTGGACAACCTGGTCCGGTTCATGGATCCCAAGCTGTACGCCCACTTGGAGTCGGCCGACAGCACGAACTTCTTTTTCTTCTTCCGCATGCTGCTGGTGTGGTATAAACGCGAGTTCGAGTGGGCAGATGTGCTGCGCCTGTGGGAGGCGTTGTGGACGGATTACTTGAGCAGCGGGTTCCACTTGTTCATTGCGCTGGCGATTCTGGAGAGGCATCGCGATGTGATCATGACGCATTTGAAGCACTTTGATGAGGTGTTGAAGTATGGTAAGTTGGACACCCCTTTTACACCATACGCCAGGTATTTTATTTGTGCTAACAAGGATGTAGTGAACGAGCTATCCACCACAATAGACCTAGAGTCAACCCTCATCCGCGCCGAAGCCCTCTTCCAGCGCTTCCGCCGTCTAGTCGAAGCCATCGACAGGAAGGAACACTTCCCCGGTCCCAGGAGGACGTTATCAACAGCTTCATCCTCATCAGCATCTGCAGCTCTGGCAAATGCGGAGGGATCCAAGTCACCGAGTCCTCCGTTGCCGCCTCGGCCTCAGTCTGGGCCTAGGGCGGCGTCTTCCCCCGCAGCAGCAGCAGCTACGACTAAGGATAACAAGGGCAAGACTACGGCTACGACAATGGCGGAAGATGATAAGGAGAAGGTAGAAAAGATCGTCACGCCGGCGTTGAGGAAGTTGTTGAGTCGGGAGGTGGAGATTATACGGGCTCCGGTGAAGGAGGGGGCGGGATATCCGACTAGGGAGCGTGCGTAGATTTGGGTTTGGGGATGGTGAAGTGGTGTAAACATAAACGTGTAACGATGAGATGACAGTGGCAGCATTGTTTTTGGGAAGTGGTTTGGGATACATAGGTATTGGATTGAACATTGGAAGGAAGGATAGGGTAGGGTATCAGTGATGGGCTATAGCATTTTTTAACACGGAGTACACGAAGTTATTGTGGCATGCACTGTATACTGCCTCGTGCTTAAAGCTTGAAGGTGACTTCTGATGTCTGTATTACTGCAAGAATCATAGTACAAAAGTATGCAAAAAGAAGTGAAGATCTAAAACCAAGAGTTGCCAATCCCTTAACGCCTCATAAGTCATTCAAGGTTGTCCCTCAAACCGCCCCAAAACGATACGGGATCCCGCTCTTTGCTTGCTCATCGTGATGTCGAAACCATGTGGTATCCTAGCGCCCTCCAACGTTAACTCCATATCCTCCTTTTCATCTTTAGATGTCCATCTCTTATTCTTCCTCAAAAGAACCACAATCATCGCATCCTCCTAAAAAGCCCTTTCCCTAAAAATCATTAGGAAGAGCCATCCCCCTCAACCCACTCCGCTGATTCGTCGCCGTCCCCGGCCTGCTCGCGGCGCTGTAACCGCTATCTCTCTGACCATGACCATGACCATGACCAGAGTGAGCAGCAGCATTGCCCTCCCCCATCAACGTCCTATCACTCCCCGCAATCCCCTGCTCCTCCATACTCTGAGAACCCACATGCTCATTCATGCCCTTGTTGTTTCCCCTGTACCCTCCGGACCCCTTGGTCCTGACGGCGGGATACAAATCGATCCAAAACGAAAAGACATAGAAACTAAAAATAAACGCAATCGTCCACTCCAACACCGCGGCGGCGTTGTAGTGCTTAGTGAAATTGCAACTAGCAAACGCGATGGCCAGGATGATCTCGACGATGACAAACGCCAGCTTGATCCAGAAGGAAATGCGGAGGACGCGGTGCTCGCGATAGCGCATGCCGAGCCTCTGATACTCCCAGCAGATAAAGATGGCGCTGATGACGTAGCCGGCAATGAACAGCAGCAGAAAAATGTCGTGCAACTTGGGGTGTCGCGCCGTGTCGAAGATGCTCAGCAGAATCAGGCCGGCGGTGCCGATGATGGCGAAGACGATGGTGATTCCCGACAGGACTTTTTCCGTGACGGTGGTGTTGGGGACCAACCGGCCCTTGTGCCGGAGCCAGCGGTCGGCGCCGAAGGAGAGGTCCAGGAAGACGGTGGTGACGGAGCAGCCGGCTATGAATAAGGGCTTGAGCGTCGAGGCGCCGACGTCCGAGATGTAGGCTATGGTTTGGAGCGAGTCCATGGAGGCGTAGTGACGCCGGTGTTCGTTGGTGCACCAGTAGATGAGCAGGCCGAGGAGGGTGCCGAGCCAGACTACGCCGGAGATTATGGGGAAGATCTGGAAGAAGGGGGGCATGGAGGTGTTAGTTTTGGGGGTGTGGAATGGAGGGAAGGGGGAGTGGAAGGGGAACGTGGAAAGGAGGAAGGGGGAGGAGGGAAGGATGGAAGGATGGAAAAGTGAAGGCTTGCTTACCCAGTATGATAGTATGCCTCGCAACATTTTGGCGATTTGTTTTTTTTTCCTCCGATGTCTTGGTGGTTGGTGATCGAAGTATGATGTAACACGGGTTCTGTGCGCCCACAGCTTCGCTAGTAGATGCACGAGCAGAAGATGCAGGAACCAGGAACGAGCGGGGATGAGTTTGGACGAAGCACGCCCCTTCTTCGTTTACGAAGTGATGGTAGTGAGTACCGGAAAGTCTCGTCGTCGTGGGGTTGATACGGATGATAAGATATTATGCAGACAATGGATGTTTTAAAGAGTGTTGGAAGTCCAGGTCGTCTCGGCAGCCACAATCGACTGTCGGGTGCTACAAGTATGTACCACGGTTGTTGTTTGCGTGTCAAAGGTCGAGTGGAAGTTGACAACGGAAAGGGGCACAAGGGGGACCTTCCCTTAAAGGAGGTATGTTCTAGAGTCTAGACGCGTCATGATGCTTACTCTCGTGGATTACTGCCTTGTCTCTGCCATGGCTTTGGCATGGCTTGGGTTTCGTTTCATCATTATTTTTCTCTAATCCTAGCCCAACGGCAAATGCCATATGATAGAGTCATGGGAAGAGCCTTCACACTGCCACTTTGGGTGGGTGAGCAGTGACGTCAGCATCCAGGCCGTCTGCGCTGCTGCGCATCCCTACGGAGCACTGAGCCGTCTGGGGTTTAGCGTGTTTCTTAGTCAATCCATTGCGGATACAGGGGTATTTGTTTGTTAGTGCTTACCTAAACGAGTTTGACGGTGTGACGGTGTCATCGGCATCCTACCGCGGTTTTCATATCATCATGACAAGATATCGAGTTTAAGATACCAAGGAGCTCATATGATTGATATTAGATCTTTTCAGTGGAAAAAGAAGCTTCTTCTTGATGTTGACATGAGAAACTCAGATGGAAGTCGCTATCTCAAGGTACCAGCGGCAGTGGACCCACAGACACACGGGGGCCCGACCTCCACTGTTTGTCAGGGCCCTTCCGCCGAATCCATCACCGGCCACCGCGCATTCATCCGCCAAAGCTTAATCCCACTCGCTCACTCTCCCTTCCCTTATCCTCCTTATCTTGACTCCGTACATGCAAGGCTGCCTTTACGAAGCTGCCCAACAACAACAACAATAACAACACTGCCTCTAAACTAATCGACTGTTTTGGCATCACCGTTCACCGTCCGTCCGAGGGTTCACCCGTGACCATAAGCCAACATGGCGAACTCCCCTCTTGTTGCGCGTCCGACCGATGCGCTCCAGCCATCGAAATCCCTTCCGACATCCAGCGGCGGCACCCCAAGCGGAGGACTGCCACGCTCGGCCCGGGGCCAGCAGATCGCCCAGCAGGTCGCCGCCCAAGCCCGTCCGACTATGGATCTGATGGAGCAGATGAACGAAGATGAGAAGAACAAATACATCAAGGGTACGCTTTAACCTCGAACTAGAGTAGAGTCATTACGCTAACACCCATCATGCGCAAACAGGTAAGAAACTCGGCGAGGGTACCTACGCCAACGTCTACCTCGGCCACTCCCGCCTCGACTCCTCAATAAAAGTCGCCATCAAAAAAATCAAAGTCCAAAAAGAATACCAAGACGGCATCGCCCCCGACGCCATCCGCGAGATGAAGTACCTGCAAAAGCTCCGGGGCCACGCCAACATCATCATCCTACATTCCGTCTTCTCGTCCAAGGACCAGAACCTCAACCTAGTCCTTGAATACCTTCCGCTAGGCGACCTCGAGATGCTGATCCGCGACGTCGACCACGTCCGCTACGGCGCCGCCGACATCAAAGCGTGGATGGGCATGCTGACGCGCGCCGTCTGGTGGTGTCACGACAACTACGTGCTGCACCGCGATATCAAGCCGAACAACCTGCTGATCGCCGCCGACGGCGAAGTCAAACTAGCGGATTTTGGTCTAGCCCGGAGCTTTGCGGACCCGGGGGTGCGGATGACGGCGAACGTGATCACCAGATGGTACCGTCCCCCGGAGCTTTTGTTTGGCGCGCGGCACTACTCGGGTGCCGTGGACGTCTGGTCGGTGGGTCTGGTTTTCGCCGAGCTCATCATCCGCGCGCCCTACCTGCCTGGCAACTCGGAGGTTGAACAGATCGCCCTGATCTGCAGGGAAATCGGCACGCCGACGGAGGAGAACTGGCCGGGCGTGACGCAGCTGAAGGAGTACACGGTTCCCAGCGACGTGGTGCCCGTGGCGGGTAAAGAAAAATACATGGGCCGGTTCGGCGCGGTCGGGTCGGACGGCGTCGATCTGCTGGCCAAGACGCTGATTTTGGATCCGAGGAGGCGGATCACGGCCAGGGAGATGCTGGAACATAGGTGGTGGAAGGCAGATCCGAAGCCGACGCCTAAGCATGACTTGCCCAAGAAGACGGCGGGGGCGGAGGAGAAGCTGGCGGCGGATTTGAAGAGACGGAATGGCATGGTGGAGGATGATGATGTGCGCGGCTCCAAGGTCGCTAGGAAATTGGACTTTGGTGCCGCCAGGTGAGGAAGCTAGGTATGGGTGATGGTTATTATGATCGAAACAAAGCATCTTCTGGGAATGCATTATATACTTATGAACGGATACATACACTGGGTTGGAAAGGAGGTTACAGTATGCACGGCATTGACACTATAGAGCGAGAGAAAGGCGTTTGGGCGCATAACACAGAATAACAATAGAGATCATATCAGTTTTAATCCACACTTTAGGAAGCCCCTTTTGATATTTTGGTGAAGTGATAAGAGATTCATGTATTGCTATGTCATGGATATCAACAACCCCCTATGCGCTTTTATCTACTTCAAAATTTTAATCATGCTCTCTCTATTCCAAAATGCTCGCTGTTTTGTTTCATTAAATACTTCCCATGTCCCTCCCTCCCCCTCTGCCACCCTCATTACCAACCCCCTTTCTTTCCCCTTCCCTTTCCCTATCCCACTCACATAACCAAACACTCCAACCCATACATAGCCCTCTCCACCTCCTTCCTAACACTATACCAATCCGCCCTGCGCTCCGCATACTCATACACCTCCTCCGCCCTAAACACACCACTAAACCGCTCGTTATCCGCAATGATCGTCGCCATCTCTTTAGCATGATGCTTCGCATCAATCAGGTAAATCTGACTCAGCTCCCTCAGCGCCTTGAAATACGCCAACAGGTCATTGTTCTTGAGAGTGCGGATGTACTCGTAGTAAAGATTCACGTCGGCGATGAGCTTGATGGCGCCTTCCGTGGAGATGCGTTGGCGCTTCAGGTGCTTGCATACGGCCGCGAAGAGACGCAGGCCGACTTCGCCGTTGAACACGTCTAGCATCGATTTATCGGTTGATCCCGTGAGCATGGAGGTATGTGAGGCTACGAGGTCGCGGATGCGGAAGGCGGTGGGCGTGGGACCGATGTCTTGTTGCGGGCCGAGTGAGTTTGTGGTGGTGCCACTGGAGCCACCGGGGGTGGTGGGGGTACCCGGGAGAGAGGGGAGGGACCAGATGGAGGGGGTGCCGGATTTGTATCGGGATTTTCGGTTGTTGCTACTGCTGTTGGTGGTGGTGCTGGTGCCTTCGGTGGTGACGCTCATGCCGCTGATGCTGGCGGCGTCGTTGAAGGGGTCGGTGGTCATGGTGGGGTTGTAATCGGTTGGTTGCTGGGTGGTGGCGCAGACATACTCGACTTCGTCCATCAGCACGTCGATGCCCTTGTTGAGACCGGCCGCGACGCTTTCGTCGAGCATCTGCTCGAATTTCTTCTTGGCCAGACCGGCTGGGTCCAAAAAGTCGTTGCGATCTGCGATTTTGGGCGTGGTGAGCTGTTGCTCGTAAAAGACGTCGATCATCTGCGAAATGAGGTCGCCGACGTTGACGAGCTCGATGAAGGTCACTAGGGGCGCCACGCCGCCCTTGTCGTGGTGGGAGACCTCGCGCGGGTTGTATTGCGAAAGGTGGGCGACCGCCTTGTCGAAACCGGGCTTGATGTGACGGCCGCCGAGGATGCGGAGCAACGCGACAAAGATAGCTTCGCATTGCTCGCGAGCTTCGCCGCCGGCTTGCCCACCCAGCTGGATGAAGACAGCGGCGCGGCCGAGACTGGATTTAGCCTTGTGGACGAGACTGAGGGCAACCTCGATGCTGAAGAGAGACTTGATGCCCTCTAACCTGGACGTCATCAGTGCCGCCTTTGCTGCTAGTTCATCCGTGGGAGCCTTGTCCGGCAAAGGACTTCCTGTACGGTCAGCAATTACTGGTGCCGTCAAACTGGGAGAAACTGGACGAGATTGCTCAGGATTTTCCGGCGCTTGTAGCTCGCCGCCGTTTGCTGCTGCTGCCGTGGCTGTCGTAGGGGTTGTAGCCGGCTTAGAAGCAAAGGGCGACCCCAACGGCAAACTTGGCAGAACAGAGACGGGCATCATAACCACTTTCCTGAACGACGTCAAGAAGTCCTTCTTATCCGCCTGTCGGTTAGTGAAGCTGCCCATGTAGAACGACTCCGCTGTGGCATCCTGCTCCGACAGCTTCTTCTCCCACTCTCCCACCTCCGCCTCCGCTTGCTGGGTGAAGTAATCCAGCTCGTCCGCCAGGTAAAGATCCAGATGCTGCTCAAACGCTTTCAGCGCGAACTCCTTCGCCAACTCCTCCTGCTCCTTCGGGTTCTTCTCGTTCTTGGGCGCATTCACCGTCCTAAAGAACTGCAACGTCTGCTCAAACAGGCCCGAAACCGCCTTCACATACGCAGCCAGACTCCTCTCATGCGTCTCGTCAAACAAGGGCGTCACGTAATCCGTCAGGATATCATCCCTGATCTTGCCCATCAACAACCAAAACACCTCGGCCGGCTTCGGGAACACTCTGTTGATAATATCCGCCTGCTCGTTAACCTTGGCCGTCAACACCTCAAAGAACCGCCTTGACGGCTCCAGCGTGACATCGTCCGCCAGCGCCTGATTCACGCACTCCATCGGGTTCGCCAACACCTCCTTATCCGAAAAAATGGGATGTTTCTGGATAAACAGCTCCACCGCCGCCGTGCCGCCGTTCAGCAGATCCAACACGTGCGCGTACTTGTGCATCCGGCCATCGACGTCCCAGAACTCGTATCCCGTTTCGAACTCGTGCAGGACCGCGCTCTCGAAGATGCCCGCCATGGTAGCCAGCTTCTCCTCGCGCTGCCGCCAGCCGGCGGCCCAGTCCGACTTGGCAAACGTCCGCAGGTTGGCCAGCATCTGCGCCTGTCGCTCCGGGTCTCGAAACACGCGGAAGACGACCGGGTCGGTGTGCGATTTCGCTTTAGCCAGGTCGAAGTAGAAGGGTGCTAGCGCGCCGTAGATCTTGCCGTACTCCTGGCGGGCGTGGCCGCGGATGGAGCGGGCGTTTTTGACCACGTTTAACAGCGCCTCCGGATCGGAAAAGGGGTCTTTTTGTGGTTGCGCTGTCGGTAACAGGGCCCCTCCCCCTCCCCCTCCACCAACTTTCATAGTCTCAAACCCATCCTGCAACCCCTCCATCTCCTCCACCGCCCTTCTCTGCGCCGCCGCCTGAATCGCCTGCTCCCTCTGCGCCTTCTCTTCCGCGATCTTTTTCCTCCTCAACTCCTCCTCGCCCGCATCAAACAAGGTAGTCGTTATCACCGGCGGCGGCGGGTACTGCTGCTGCTGCTGTAGTCCAGGAAAAAGCTCCAGTGATTGTCCAGGAAACGGTTGTCCCCTCCCTATTGGCATTCCCATTGCTCCTACTGTTGTTCCCGCAGCTGCAGCGGCAGCAGCAAGTCGTTCCCGCTCCGCCCTTTCGGCGGCTTCGCGCCGTCGCTTCATCACCTCCTCGAACCGCCGCCGCGCTTCGACTTCGTCCCACACCCCCATGGAGCGCAGGCGGGCGACCCAGCGGGTGTCGTCGTAGACCATCTCGCGCATGCGGCGGGAGGTGCGGGCGAAGCGGAGGAGGTCGGAGACGGGGAGGTAGTCGAGGATTGTGACGAGGATTTCTGTTGGTCATGGGGAAGGGGTGTGGTTAGCTGATGTGTCGAAGCAAGAGTGCTTTTGGTGTAGCGGCGGGGATAGGTAGCATACCGGCTGGTAATACTGGCTTGGAATCAATCATGGTGGTCGCTCGGAGGGCATTCAAGATGCTGCCGTTCTTGTTGTGGCCGCCCGCTGCCATGGCCGCTGACGAAGAGGCGGACTTTGGTCCGGCACCCGCCATGGAGGCCCTCTTGAAGTTGGACATGGTGTCTTCTATCTTTGTATCTGTCCGTGAGTATCGTTATGGTATTGTAGTAGCTAGCTAGCTAGATATGGTCTGATGTTGCTGTTGGTGTTGATGTTGATGTTCAAGGTGTTGTAAGGTCCAGTAAGGTATTGGTCGTGGTTTCAAGGCGGGACGTGGTATCGTAGATTCATGCTGCTGCCGGACAGAAAGATATTTGAGAAATCGTTGCCCTCGTCGTAGGCCCCGTCGTCGTGAGAAGTAATACTACCGATACGAGGAGTCGTTGTAGGTAGTTGGCCGATTGGACAGCATTGAACAATGTAAACAGAAGGCGGAATGGAAAGCAGCAGACAGTTCTGGATACGAACGGGATGTGCTGTCCCATGTTGATGGGCCCATGTTGATGCCCGGACCTGGGCTTATCACGTAACTGTAACTTCGGTCAGGGGGGAGAAGTGGCCCGCCTGCGGGGCTCCAGAACGCAGAGCTAGATTGGGCCAAATATAGCACCCGATTACAGCAGGGTAAGAGTCCCGGGTTAGGGTTGTACATGGCATAGACCAAACTGCGCCACCCCCTGACTACGAACAAGCTTTAACAAGACAATGGCTAGATGAATCCAAACAAAGAACAACCGCCAGTGAATTATACGATGGTGTGTCTCAAAAACATATTAGACCTTGTCATCGTCTCTATTTACAACTCCGGTTCGTCGTTCCTAGCGGTATAGCTTAATCAGACGACAGTTTTCAATCTCCATCATAGCTCGTCTTTGACGTACTCTGATTCAACCGGGGCCGCTGGGACAGCCTCGGGCAGGTCATCCATGGCCAGGATCTTGACCACCAAGCTGGTCCAGCCGGTGAAGTGCTGGGTGCGCTGGCCCTTGCCCGTCTCTGGGTTGTACTGCTCCCAGGCAAAGCCTGTTTCCTCCCAGCTGTTGTAGATGGTCTCGACAACGTTCTTACGCAGCCTCTGGTACAGGTCGCGGGCTGTCTCTTGGTAGGGCCCTTCTTGGATAGCAAGGTTCTGTGACCATGGTTAGCATCGTAATCTAGGCGGTGAGATGGAACTAGAGGTAAACTTACGTAAAGCTGGGTAATGACAAGGTAGTTAATGTTGATCCAGATGGGACTTCTCCAGTAGTTCTCGGCAGAGCCATAGTTCTCATCCTTCTTGCTCAAGCTTCGGATACCATACGGACTCCACAGCTCTTCCTCATCACCAATAAGGGCCAGAATCTTGCCAAGCTTAGGGCTATCGGCCTTCAACAGACCAGTCAGGAATGGGGAGAGGGAGATGTATCCCTTGTGGCAGACCAACTGGTGCTCCTCAAACTCGTCGATGGTAGCGTCGCAGTAGCAGCCGTCCTTTTCAGACCAGTGCAGGTCGTCAAGATTGTGCTCTATTCCGTCGAGAACCTTGGTGTAGTCCTCAACCTCCTCAGGCGCAACGGCTTCGGCAATGTTGGCCAACGACTTAGCCATCAGGCCAACCCACGACATGAGGTCGACATGGAGCTCACCAGGGTGAGGAGGCTGAGGACGGGGGTAGTCGTCCAAGCCACTGGTCAAGCAGTGCGCAGGGGTGCGGCCGCGCCACCTGTAAGCCTCCCGGGGAGAATAGGCCTCGCGATCGTAGGACTTGATGTCACCGTACTGTGTCTTCTTGAACCAGTAGAACTGGCGGCGAAGAAGCGGGTAGAGGCGGCGGAGATACTCCAGTCCTACTTCAACGTTGTCGATAGATGCACTGGAAAGGGGGACGCCCTGGGAAAGATGCTCCTTGACAACAGGCATGCTGCCGTTAGCTTTGCGCAGCTTGTCGACAAAGGTATCGACAATGAAGAACAGCGTAGGAGGGTTGGCGTAGTGGGGATATTGGGTCTGGAACTCCTCGGGAACCTTGCTCCTGGCCTCTGCGCCCAGGATCTGCTCACGGGCGATCCAGCCATCCTCGTCCATGAGGTTATACCAGCTCTTGACAATCTCCATTGCGAGGTCAATGTCCCAGTCCGCAATGGGAAGCAGGTGGAAGCCTTCATCCCACAAGAAGCCTCTGGGGAAGAAGGGGCGGGACGGGATGCTGGTAAAGAGCTCATAAGGGCCTTCGAGCGTGGGCTTGTTGCGAGCTCTGGCGGCCGCAGCCTCCTCCCAGAATCCCTCGTCCTCCTCCTCATACTCGGGCGCATAAGAACGGTCAACCACTGACTCTCCAAAGAAATAACCAATGCCGCCAATGAGGTTAGAAAACATGCTCCTGCCAAACTTCTTATACTTGTCAGCAGTAAAGGGAGCCTTGATGGCAAAGACGCTGGAGAAGCGTTCGCCAAACGACTCGGTAGCCTCCTGGATCTCCCTGGTCAGATCGGCACTTGAGAGTTCCGTGCCAGCCGAGGCGCTGGAGAAGAGGATATCAAACTCAAAGTCACCCTCAAAGACTCTTTGGATGATCTGAACGTTTCCAGCTCCAGGGCGATTCTCAAGTTGGAACACCTGCCAGGCCGGCGGGGGGTCTTCCTTGTCAAAGTACTTCTCGACGAACGCATCGACGCTCTCCTTGAGCTGCTTGAAGACGACGCCCTTGGCCTGCCAAAGGAACTCTTCCTGGTAGGTCAAGGACTGGACCACAGTGTGGGCATCGCCACGCACCTCGGTGACCTTGTGGTCGCTCTTAGGGTGCTTGCCCTTGCCCTTGGTGAGGACAAGCTTGTAGTCTCCGAGGGCGGCAGAGTTTCCGTTGAGGGTGACATCGCCCTCGTAGCCATTCTCATCATCTCCCTTGGCGGCCTCGAGTGTGCCAAGTCCCTCCTGAGTGACATAGAGGATCACAGCAGTCTTGCGGTCTGCGGGCACACCCTCCTGGAGCTGACCCTTGACTCTGGCAGCCCAGCTGCCGCCATTCGCGCCGCCGGGAACCTTGACGAAAGAGGTGGTGATGTCGATGCCGTTCTCGGTGTCGTGGATGGACTGAACACCGCCCCTTCTAGTGTCGTATTCGTCCCAGCCATAACCCTTCATGCCCTCGTTCTGCTCGCACGTGTACCGGAGAGAGGTCTGATAGTCGGTGTATGTCTCAACCTTGCCCCACATGAGACCAGTCATCAAGGCCTTGGGAATGCGGGGGCGGACGCCGAAGTAGAGGTTGGGACGATAGGGACCCCATAGCAGGCTCTGGTTGTTAAGTCGAGCAATCTCGCTGTTGAGGATGGCCTCGTCCTCTTGGGCGGCAGCTTGGCCGAAGAGGGCATTGAAACAAAGGAGGAAGAGGGTGAGCACCAGGCTCAGTTGGCGCGGTTGCCGCGATGGTGGCGCCATGACTTGAGGTTGTGCCCCAGATGTAGGTAGTCCCAAGTAAGGGGGGTACGGTACCACGAGGCTCAAGCTTCGGTGTAGCTGTTTCTAGCTTGTCTAGTTGGGCATCGGTACTTTTCTTCGCCAGGTCCGTGGCTCTGTGAGGGTGAGAACTGAGGAACTGGAAGTAAGTCGACTCAGATCTGTCGAATCAGCACCCAGTTCCAGGATAGCGTCGTGAAGAATCGGTGATGGGGAGGGTCGGAAGTTGTGATGGTGTGGCTATTTTCTGAACACGTTCCATGACGATGAAGCTGGCGCCAATCTGCAGGGGTAAAGGCTACTAAACCACCTGGACAGGACCCCCTGAGGACCCCTCGACCCCCCCTCCCCCCCACGAGCCCCCAACTAGACTCCACTGGGACTCCAAAAGCCCAAGTGGGTCTCTTCAACAACAGAATGTGGGGTTCAATGGGGTTTGACCCCGCTGCCCCACCTTTTGTATTTCTTATTCCCCTCCACGACAACTGAACTCTGTCCTCGTTTCATCTTTTTTTGAACCTCAGCCGCACACGAACAAACTCTACGAATGACATCTTTCATCTCATAACGACCGACGCCACGCTTCGTTGCACGCGCTGCAGCCCTATGAGGCCGTCAAGACACAACCACGATATCTATTCTCGGATGGTCATTCTCTGCGGGCGTCGACGACGACATTGTGGTAGATCCCAGAATAGCCTCATCCATCGCCGAAGATAGACATATCATAACGAATGTCTCAATCACCTCAAGCCACATAGATCATGGCTGCATCACCAGCCAACCTCGCCAAGACCCTCAACCTCGTACAGATCCCCAGGCCGACACCCAATGCCTGCAACGTTCCATCCACCATACCAACATATCGACGAGTGTCGATGGACCCTCGAAATAGGATACTCTCCAGCCAGTTCAAAGATCCAGGATAGTCACGATATTTGACGGGCACGCTATATGGACGAGTCTGAAGCGCGCCCACCCGGCTTCTCGTCCACGAGACATCCTGGATACTGCCGGTGCCCAGATCTGCCTAACATTTTGATCTTGAAGCTGCAGTGTTCTCTGTCAGCGTTTGAGGTTATGGGAGATAACGGTCAAGAAACGGCGTGCCTGCAGTAGCCCCTGACAAAGGGACCATGCGTCATGTACCATGTACGGTGCTCTAGAAATGGTCCCCTTCCTGGATCTCGGCGCCGGCGAGCAAGAATCTGTCAGTCCCCGGTGTGTTTTTCGATTCTACATCCGGGGTACTGTATACTTCTCTCTTGATGCTCCCCGCCAACCTCTTTGCCAACAGCCCGGAAGTTCTTATACCTTCTCTCGGCTTTGGTATTCGTCGAAAGGCTAAACGTCGGCTGGACCATCATACCCTTCCTTCTGTCATTACGAGGCACAAAAGAACACTCACACACACTCACTCATTAGCTCCGGGCAATCGGTGGTCCAACGGCTATGGATGGTCGACTAGGTGAGACATCACAACCCCCGATCTGCGCCGTGGCCCGTCACGCCCGTGTCTGCAGATGCTGCCCGAACCGAAGAATATCAATTCGGGCGGTGGCTTAGTGGCCATTTTCTGCCCTTTTCTCCCGTGTCTGCCCTCCACTACCTTTGCCTTACCGGTGCCCGCTTCTATCCTATTGATCCTCCCGCTCGACTGTCACATCACGGCCTCCTCACAACCAAGATGCCCATACGGTCCACTGTTACCGATTTAGTCACACCGTGATGTCTGTTGTCTAGGCACACAGGGCATGTGTCGCTCTGGTCGTCTTGGGTTCCACAACCCCAGGCAGCTCTATGCATCCTGCAAGCAACTTTTGACAAGCAAGAATGCGGCGGCGACGCGGCTCGGCGTGAGATCGGGGATGGGTAGCGGGTGGTAAAGCCAAGAACCAGGCGAAGAGAACTGATCTACAGGTATTACTGAATGGGGGAGAGAGAAAGGAAATATCACAAACTCACCCAGGTTACCGAAACCAATCTGCTTCAAGATACCCTCACCATTTCTGTGCAGACCTACAGCTCATTAATATACGGGATGCAAAGAAGGTGCGTAGAAGACGCATGGAAGAATGCAAAATCACACGGCAATCTACCCAGCCCGTCGATAAGGAACTCACGGGATGTTTGCCTTGCCTTGATCGTCTCTCAGGTACTATCAAGATCATCCATAAGCACATTCGGTACCAGCTTGGCTATGATGTAGGTAGGTCCCTACAGCGTATGCAACAACAACATGTTGTGGGTCCTATCCGAGCCGTGTCATGGAAGCTTTTCCAAACCTTCTAGAAGGATGGAAAGGTCGGATGTAACATGCGGTACGCTACGTTGGCTACCAGAAGCCAATGTGGTAATGAGGCGTGGATTGCGAGCTTCTATAGGCCGAGACCAACTACATAACCCCTGGTAAAATTTGGTTGACTACCTCTACACTTGACGCGGTACGGTTTGGTCATGTCTATCATGCAAGGTATCGGAAATGGTCCTACTTAGTCCTAGGTAAGTGGTTCCAAAGACAACAAGCGAAGAGGAGAGATACGAAGAATTTGATGCACGAAGACACGATGGTCCACCGAGGAGGTGACTCGCATCTGGGACTACGATGAAATTTGAGCGGGCTTCAGGCAGGCAGAACAGAAACCGTCGTGGGGAACCCGTGAACTCTACAGATCTTCATTGTCTATCGTGAGTTGGGGATAATGAAAATCGCTAATGGGTATACAAGAAAAGGAAGTGAAATCGAAGTCATGACAGAAACCCCGTATCCTGACCAACCATCATCAAGAACAAACATCAAAGAGAGGAGAATTCTTACAGCCTTGTCCTTGCCCAGCACTCCTTCACATCCGGCCTCCTCTTCCACCTCCTCTTCCATAGACACTGCTTCCACTGCCGCTCGCCGCGTCACCACCTCTTCCATAGTCGTAATAATACGGCGATGAATCATAATACGTCACATCCATACCAGTACCAGTACCATTTCCAAGGACACTGGCACCCCCGTGACCACCACTTCCACTTCCACTTCCCGGAGTAACCGCCATAGGAGAAGTCACATACTCCCCTCCAGCTCCAGTCCCCGCCATAGAATAATCCACATCCATATCCATATCCATATCACCACCACTCATCAAATCCATGCCCATGGGCATCATCATGCCATACGGTGACAAAGGCGATGCTCCGCTGTCTCCACTCGTCGTGTGTCGGTAATACGTAGCCGCTTGCTGTCGCTGTTGTAAAGTCGGCCATGTATCGCCGCTGGTCGTCGTAGACATATGCGTAGGCGTAGGCGTAGGTGTATTCAAAGCCGTATTCGTAGGCGACAGCGACGTAACCGTTCCCGTCCCAGACCCTGATCCTGATCCCCTTGAGGTGCTCTGATACCGATAGTACTCGTGTCCCCTCCCCACCATGTATCTCATACTCAAACCACCCCACGGTAAACCCGATAGTACCCTCTCGCCTCCCACCCCATCCCTCATCTCCCCGCCATGCGCTGTTCCCTCTCCCTTCTCTTCAACAACCCCCTCAAAACCCTCCCCATCAAAATAGTACCCCCCACTCCCACTCCCACCCCCACTCCCATTCTCATCCTCAACCTCATAAGTCTCAACAGGTAAATCCCCAACCTCCGGACACGTATAAGCACACCCAGCGTACCTCCTATTCTGCGCGTCGCGGGCAGCTTGGTCTTTCAGCAAGCGAGCTTTTTCGCGGAACTTGCGCTGGGCGATGCGGTTTTGGATTCGGCGACGTTGTTCCGGTTCGTGGATTTGGTGCCAGTCGTCTTTGTCGGCGGTTTTGTCTTCTTGTTCTTTGTCTTCTTTCCCTGTATGCGAGAATTTTTGTTGTGGGGAGGAGGGTGAGGGTGAGGGTGAGGGTGAGGCGGGCTTGGGAGAGGAAGGTGAGAAGGACTTGCTAGATGTGGAGGAGCGGGTTTGGGTATGGGTATGGGAGTGGGAGTGGGAGTGGGAGGAAGAGGATGAAGTGAATGAAGAGTGTCGTGACGAGCGTGAGGACATGTTGTGTTTGGGGGGTGGATGAGGATCAGCCGGTGGTGAAGAAGTTGGTGAAGTGGGCGGTTTTTTGCTCGCTGTTGAGTCTTTGACCTGGTTGCTCTGTTCACTGTTGCCGGAACCCGTAGCAGCACTTAGTCGTGCGTCTATCGCACAGACATATTCTTCTTCAGCCTCGATGGGCTGAGGTTGATTGGGCTGTGTATGTTCTTTTCCAAGTATTTCTACCGCGGTCTGAGAGTCATGGCCTATAATAAAGTTGGTATGAGATTCTCTGGTCTTCGGTAGAGATAATAATAGCAAAAATGACTGGGTTTAGACAACAGCAGTTATGTCAAAGATAAAGAAAAAGAATACTCACCCTCCAAACCCTTCACCAGCTTCTTAGTCAAACCCTTTTCTTTCCTTCCCCTCTTGACTGCTCCGGATAGTGACCGTCGTCTCGAGTATGCCGACCTAGTAACACGCGGTTGAACACCAAACCGTTGTTCCTTTTCGGCGACAACACCCCAAACACTCTGAAGGAGAACTCCTGGGCCACTCTTTAAGTATTCGTGATGATCCAGGGAAGCAGTCGAAGAAGCCGCCAATCTTGTTGCACTCGTGCCTGGCGGGAACGCCGATAATACGGTGGAAGGACGACGTGGAATATGTGACTGTGACTGTCCTTCTTCTCGCCAGGTACCTGGTCCTGCCCCGAGGTATGCGGGAACGCAGAGATCGGTAGACATCTTGTTCGAAACCTTCTTCAAGATATGTCCTAAATAAGGTAAGAAGCCTTGGCGTTCAAGGAGGTAGAGGTATTCGTTTTCGTGCTGTATATCGTTTGTAGGTAGAATGAGGCTTGTGGTGACTCCAGTCTGTGTGTTTAAAAGCACCTAGTGTACTCCGCCACTTGCATACGTCCAAAGATCTTCCAAGCTTGTTCAACGATGAGGTGAAGACTTTGAGGATCAAGGGGTAGGTCTCTAGAGAGGATCTGGTAAGGCTGGCAGGCTAGGTACTGTGACGCAACCCCACAAGGAACGAAATGTAAAAATAAGTCAGGCAGCGCCCAATGATCAACATCAGCTGCAGAGCAAGTGATGTCTTGGCTTTTGGTTTGTTGGCCAGTTTGTGAATGATGAAGTATAGTCACAGGAAACTTGCAAGGCAGGTTATCCTCTAGTAGATACGAGCGTTGATGTGGTTTTAGCAACCCTTTGCTCGTATACGTCTGGTTAAAAACAACACGGAGTGGTCAAAGTAGCATGGTAGTACTCCCATCAACCACATACCTTAGTAGAACCACTTGGTTGATTAAACCCTCGCCGACTTCGGGAACATCTCATGATTGTGGCTTTCGGTAAGGAAGCGGCCCTGTATACACGTATCCGGTACCGAACTTTCCCATATCCCCTAGAGTCTAGTTGAAAAGGCAGGACCCGTCGTGCCTGATGACGACCCCGGTTCTGTCTGTCAAAGAAAGGTCGGCTCATACTTGCGTTAACGTTTCATAATGCAGACAAGATCTACTGAAGAAGAGCTAATGCAGTAAGCCATGTGACGAGATAAAGTTGCCTGGAGAACCCCAAACAGTACTAGGTACACGGTAAGGATACCAAGTACCGCCGCTTGTGTGTGTGAGTGAGGAGAAAGGACAGGGAAGGCGTCCCGAGCCGTAGGCACTAAGCTTGCCCCTGGTAAAGGATCAGATAGAAAGACCATCACAATACTGACCCATGTTGCTTGCTTCCCCAGACTGTGCTGAAGGCCTTCCATTGTGACAACCTCTTGGAGATCCTGAGGGAGAAATGAAGAACAGAGAAAACGGTCTGGGTGGATAGCAGTACGCCAGTAACAGCAGGTCCCAAAGCATCTGTACTTTACAAGCAAGGTAGTACTTCCGTCTGCTGAGAAATGAGGAGTGCAACATTGCCAGGGCTCCCCCACAGCGCCGGGATTTCCCCCGAGCGAGAGGTATCATCGAGTGGGGCTGTGACCTTTCTGACTCTTTCGGTGTCTTCCCACTCCACGTAGAATGCAACTTACAAAGGGCGTATGCAGTTCAGCCGCAATCTATGCGATTTTCTATGGCCACCTTGTGGTATAGTCACCGCATCATACAACCAAGTTGACTGCCAGGCATCGTATCTTCAAGTTGTTTTGACTGAACGTCGAGGGACAGAGGGGGAGGTAGTCGCTGAGACCTCAACGGTGACCAAGGGTTTGAGTCACTAAACCCAATCGAGACTCGAAGTCCAAAGCTTCTGTAAAGGACTCCTTTGACCCAGAGTTGACTCTCGTGTGTAACGTAGTCCGACCTTTGTTTTTAGCATTCAAGCGAGTGGCCGCCAGGGATCCAGATAGCGCTGAAGAGCATGTGGTGTGAAGCGGTCCTCTCGGTACCAGATAGGGTTAGCGAGATCGAAAGGAAAATGACGGACGCAGGGGTGCCGTGTGATGAGGCAGTGGTACCGAGTGTGGGGGTGATGTACCCTGTACTTTGGTTCAAGCGGAGGATAGGGTTCTCTGTGTTGTCTCTCTTGGGTTTGTGGTCAACATGCTCCTCGGAGATACACTTCAGGGTTGTGGGCCATGAGTCCCATGTGGTTAGCTGGGCACATTGTGAGAGTACCCGGGACATACGAGAATTTTCTCCTCTCATTGCAAGAAAACCTGCCCCACGAGCTTCATGTTCCCGTAGGGCGTGTGCTTTCTTTCCTACTTTGTCCACCTGTGCGGACGGATAACCACTCACCAGGAAGGTGGTGTGAGTGACAGTCATAAAATCTGTAAGGACATGGAATGTTAGCTGCAAGCGAAGCCCGATACGAATAGAGTTACCTATATGTGGCTTCTTATTACGTAGCCGTTTTGATGTGATGGCAGGCACCGTTCGGACTTATCCCCGATGTGGTACGTCTGCAACCTTTAAAGTTTTAAGCTTAACGGCGCCGCCACCGTCCCCGCCGCCACCGTCCCCGCCGTCACCCCTGCCGTCACCAATCGAGACGGCATCGATTTTGAGGGGTTTAGAGCTTCACCTCACCATTGGGTTGTGACCGACTTTCTGACATCTTGGAGATTGCCATGGTGTTCCAGAAACTGGCTTTTTTTGGATGATACGCGAAAGACGCCTGATAGATTTCATCGTTCTTGATTCGGCGAGAAACGTCACCGCGTCGAGCGTGTCTCGATTTCAGCTGCGGCACAGCTGCCAATGAAGCTTGGTGATGTCTGTGTAACCAGACCAGAAGCTCCTGGATTTAGTCTTTTGTGTGACACCATCACTCCCCATATCATACTGGTTGTGCAGTCGGGACAAGCGGTATAGAGTGCTCCATGATATCGGGCCTCAATTCCATCATTGGTGATATCGCCGAACAGCACGGAGATGGCGTTTTGAAGCATGAGACGAGAGCTATTTTGAGTTCTCGAAAACGCCTCAGGGTGATGCTTGTTGTCCCATGATTGCCATGATTGCCAAGAATACCGTTCTGACAATTCCCTCGCAGGCCTTTGGGAAACCGTCCTTCAGAAATAGCCGCATCAAGCGCGCAATGATCCATTGAGGTTTTCGATGGAGCTGTAGGTGGTGAAAAGCTACCGTACATTCGAAGAGATCATGGATCTGTGTCGGCGGGTTCTATATTTGACTAATGATGGCTTGATTTGAAAACGCCGACATGGTCCGAGTTGTATGATGTACGCCTTCCATCCACCATCCACCTCGCATTGCTCACAAACAACCCCCTTTTCCATCCCCAAACTGAAGAGAAAAATGCAAAACCCTCATTTCCAGCATCCTCAATCATTCCCCGATCGAATAAAAAAAGCAAAAAGCTAAGTCGCCCAGGTAGGTTTGTAGAACGAACGACAATACCCCAGCTGCAGACCTACGAAAACCGCCGCGCTAAGTTATTCATCAACAGTAACCACTGCGCCATTAGACCACAGGGCTCCCCGTTGTGGTAAAGGGGCTAGGTAACGGATCTTATATGCCCGCTGGTGCCTGGGCTAGGCTCAGACTGCGGCAGCCGGAAGGGAGGAGCTCTGTCATCCGATGTTTGAGGAAGGGCGTGCCGGCCGGGCGGCAGCGCAGCGGCGGCGGCAGGAACCGTGGCAGGCGCCTGGTACCGTATGCAGCCTGCATTGGGCTTGTGAATGCTTTGGGAGCTATGGCCAGATATCAGAGATGGGTATATCAGGTACGTGGTAAGTGCAAAATGCTCGTGGCTGTGTAGTGGACGATCCGTGAGCTAGAAATAGTATCATCACATGCTGTATTGATGGAAGTACGAATAGACTTGTCGATGCCGATGCTATATTAGGATGGTTCGTCGAGGTTGTGGGCGTCGATGATTGTGGTCTAAGTGGGGGTTTAGAGATATGAAGGCTTCTGCTGTTATTGTTCCATCCGGGTGAGTTATTGTCGCATGATGCTGGGTCCGTCTCTGATACTGTGATCAGAGTAGAACGAATAAGGTCAAGTGAGGACCTGGGAGTTCTGTCCTGAATAGGCAAGCACGACAGAGACCTGAGTCTCTTGACGATACCAGAAGTACATCTACCAATAGTCTAGCGTCAGCAATGCGGTTTGGGAAAGAGCTTTTTAACAAACGACGGTGGTTTGTTGAAGTAGCTGTTTGTATTGGAACACTCCCGTTTTGCTGACAAACTTTGAGATGGATTATGCGGGAGTGAAAGGTTGACGTGAACTTGGAGAGAGAGTTTCTGGCGTAGAAAGTTTGGTATTTGGGGCGTAAAATGCCGACGGCAAACTTGATGGAGAGATATATGTTAAAGGGAGTTACATGGTTGTGGGAGGATCTGTTGACTGTTATCGCCGGGGTAAGTTGTGAGCTTTTGTATCACGGAGTTAAGCTAGGGACATAACATCATACGGGCTATATCCGGAGAGTACGACAGGCTCGTTCCATCCACGGCAGGATGCACTGAGCTGACGGGACGAACCAGGCTCCCAGGAACAAAGGATCCTAGCGCTAATGGTTCGAGGTGCGAGTGAGGTCGGATGCCCTGAACCCTCGTTAGTAGAAGACATCAGGATAAACAAGGAAGCGCAAAACACCATTCCCATGACATCAGTAGCCTCCTATGACCATAACCGCTTCGCAGAGAATACCTGACAACGACCATGGTCGCAACACAGGGACCAACAAGTGACGCAAACAGTCCAGGACCCCGAAAGATGGCAAGCCGAATCCCATTAATATACAGATTTTACACATGGCTACAAATGGAGTAGAGCTTGCGGCCAACCGAGCACGTTCATATCTGACGGCACCTTGACCAAACCAATCTTCCATGACCATACTCATTTGTTTAGTAGAAGCCCATCTTCTCCCTAAGGGCCTTACGCTCCGCCACACCTCTCTTGAAGCGCACCTCGGCGCGTCTACGTTCACCACCGTCGACCTTGTGTCCTCTCTTGTTTTCCCACATGCCCTCGGTGATGGCGAGCTTGGCGACGCCCTTCTGGACGGGCAAGGCGTAGGGGCCAACGATTGTAGAGACGCCCTTGACCTTGTAGCCCTTGACCCAGGCACGTTCGCTTTTAGGAATCTCCTCGGCGTTCTTATTGGCGGGGACGTTGATGACCTTTCGTGCCATTCTGGTAGGGCTTGCCTCCTTCTCAGAGATCTTCAAGTAGGCGACACCGTTTTCGACGTGCTTGAGGTCGCCGCCAATGCCGAACTTGCCCTCCCTAAACCGTTGCCTCCATCGCAGCAGGTAGCGCCTTGCCCTTGGGGGCTCGACGCCGAGTTCTCTCAGTTGGTCGGTAGTGAGGGTGAAGAGGGCCTCCCACGTGGGGAACTTGTCGGCATGTTGTTTGAGGTCGCGACCGATCAAGGTCAGGAAGGTGTTGACGTCGGGGACGAAGGGAGTCGGCTTGGGGATGAGGGGCAACCGGGCGGCAGGGTTATGCGCCCATCGTGCGTGTGCGTTGAGCCCGGGGGCAGTGACGGGGGCCGAGACGGCGCAGGGCCGGAAGAGGAGTCCAAGAGTGGACTGGATCCGGAGGGAGGACTTCATCCGTGCTGGGTCAAGTCTACAGTGTTAGTGGGCAAGTAAACAAATAAAAAAGAGGGGAACGATAAAGTCGCAAAGTCGCAAGTCGCAAAGGACATGGAAGCACAACAGCAAATTGGGAGTGGGATGGGGGAGGGTGCTTACCTATTGCAGAGGTGTCGCCAGCAATCGGTCAAGGTTGCCGCTCATATCACGGAGCCGGGGAAGAGACGGGGCGAGATATTGTGGATGGAGATTCCTTAACTGGTTCCGGCCCCGGGACTGATCGCTTCGGTGGACTCCCGTCGCTTGGGAAAGTTTTCCTCCGCAGCCCGCTTCGTCCGCCCAAAAATTGGGAGCCGGGACCGCTGCCCGGTCTGAGCGCCCGACGTCCAGCGTCTGAAGCTTCCGGTGGGGTCCGGTGGGGTACAAGATAGCTCCCGCCAGTCTGTAAGCCAATGAAAAGCGCTCTTTACCACGGGGTAAAGTGGCGCCCCTGCATGTTAGCACGGTTGGTTCATGCCAAGACCCTGATTAGCAGACAGCCCTATAAAACGTACAAGTACGTACACTGTTCCAGCTTGTACGCCCGCGTGTAAGCCCTTCTGTGTGCCTGCCCCTGCGCGCTGACCTCTTGCCTTACTAATTTCCTGCCTAACTACAGATGGAAGCTACCTACCCCCCTCCTTATCACTCCTCTTCTTCTCCCCTCTCCTTGCTCATTTCTTCCTGCTTTATGCACCTTCATCTCCAGGTTCACCAACTCACCGGTTGGTCATCCGGATCGGCCATCCATCCTTCATCGCCAACCTCGAACATGCCGGCAAGATCGGACTGTTTATTACCTAGACAAAGCGCATCCACAGCGTGATATTTCCAGACCACTACCGCTTGCTTTGGTTGACCAACATTGGGCGGCTTCCACACCCCCATATATATCCCATCTTTTCCCTCGACCAAACCGTGAATTCGCGGTCCCTGCTTCAACCTGATCACCACGAAATCAGTATCCATTGAGTTTCGCCATCATGCCTCCAAAGAAAAAGTCCCAAGGGCAGTCTCGACAACACCAATCAGACTGGGAAGCCAACCCCGAAAACCTAGCAGCATTTGTCGACTATGTTCGATCCATTGGACTTGATCCCGCCGTTTCCACTACTGATGCCGAACTGGACTTGGAGGTTCGACCTGCAAAGCGCGCGAAACTTTCACGGGGCGTATTCAAGCCTAGCGATGCCGTCTGTATCGACGAGCACACAGTCGCCCTCCCTGCCCGTGAGACGGCGGCCATTCCCAAATATTTTGCCCTCCACAAGCAAAACATTGGAGACTACGTAGATGTTTGGGTGGTGAACGCCAAACCCGACCGTCGTGATCCAGAACGTGGCACTTGGTACTTGCATCTTGCTCCTCGCAAAAACGGCGGTCGCGCAAACAAAAACAAGGGCGCCCATATCTGCTATGTCCTCAAGACAAGGACAATCTCTCGAAGACTTGCTCTCATGGCCCGTGTTGCTAAGACGCAATCATTTGACCCTGGGTCCAAGGGCTATCTTTGGACAGCTGTGGATATCGCCATCCGTCAAGAAGGAGCATCTGTCAAAATCGATGTCACTCTCAGACTAATGTGGAACACTAGTACAGATGTGTACCAGTCCAAGGTTCAGCAGGGGCTGAAAACCCAGGTGCTGATGGTGTATTACCCGAATCTACTTGTTTCAGCACAGGAGACCATAGCATGGTCTCCACAGCATTTCTACGAAGCAGCGCATACCCCAAAGCCCAATATTTCCGACGGACATCTCGCGACAGCAAAGATCCCCAGTCTGGAGGCGGACCTTTATCCTTTCCAGCGAAGGGCTGTCAAGTGGCTTCTACAGCGTGAAGGTGTCGAATGGAGCGGCCTTCTTCAACCCGATGGCCAACCTTTGGTTCAACCCTCTGAGAGTGGGGATGCGTCTCTTCTCCCTGCCTTCTTCCACCAGGTTAAAAATCCCAATGGCGATACGTTTTATATCAGCCCGTTATTTGGCATAGCGGCAAAAGACATCACGAAGCTCCCGTCTAATGACATGGTCAAAGGTGGTATTCTGGCTGAGGAAATGGGTAACTTTTCCTTTTGGAGTTGATTGCTGAGGGCAAAAAGCAGAATCGCTAACTTTTGATAGGTCTTGGAAAAACCGTCGAAGTGATTGCTCTCACGTTGCTTCACAAACGCCCACCAGGCCCAACAGTGGTATATGACCCTTTCCTTGGCCGCGAGCTCCAAACAACAGGAACGACCCTGATAATAACGCCTTTACCTCTTCTCGATCAATGGCTTTCCGAACTGAACCGCCACGCACCGACTCTCAAGGTGGTTTACTATCCAGGGCTGAAAAAGGCGGCCAAGATGAAGGGTGTAGACCTCTCGTCCAAGCAATTGGCTCAGCAGGATGTGGTCATCACCACTTATGAAGTTCTCCGGACCGAGATCTGGTCAGCCGTCGATCGTCCCGAACGATCCATGCGCGGAGAAAAGCAATATGAGCGCCAAACCTCTCCCCTCGTCGAACTTGGGTGGTGGCGCGTCTGCATTGACGAGGCCCAAATGGTGGAAAACTGGACCAGCAACACTGCAGTACTTGCAAGACGCATTCCCCGCGTCCATGCTTGGGCAATCACTGGTACTCCGGTGAAGGATGACATTCAGAAAGGTGAGAATTCCACCAGACAAGCTAGGTTGTATTCAGTTTGACAATGGCTAACGAATGGCGCCCAGATCTACGAGGCCTTCTGAACTTCCTCCGAGTTGAGCCATATGCCTCGGATAAAGACGCTTGGAAAGCCTTAATGTCCGACAAGGCGCGCTTCAAGGGCCTGTTCGGCTCCATCACAATGCGGCACACGAAGAGTATGGTTAGAGGCGAAATATCGATTCCGCCCCAAAAACGACATGTGATCACGATGCCCTTCAGCGCCGTGGAGGAACAGCATTACCGGACTGTATTCAGCGAGCTCGTCAACAACTGCGGCTTGGACGTTGAGGGAAACCCGATCCAGGAAGACTGGGATCCCGACGATCCTGTCACACAACAGGGCATGCGGACTGCCCTCGATCGGCTGCGCCAATTGACCCTCCACCCTGAAGTGGGAAACCGAAACCGCAAAGCTTTAGGGAAAAGGTCCGGCCGCCCTATGCGAACAGTGGCCGAGGTCCTTGATGCAATGCTAGAGCAGAGCGACGGTGCCATTAGGAGTGATCAACGTAGTCTCCTGCTCATGCAGCTCAAAAGAGGACAAATTCTGGCTGGAATGGACCGCGTCCAGGATGCACTAACTATCTGGGAGGATGTACGCGCGAAAAGTATAGAGATGGTAGCAGGATGCCGGAAACAGCTTGAAGCGAAGCTTGCAAAAGCCCCTGAGGTACCGTCAGGTGCAGAGAAAGATAGCGAGTCGGATGAGGAGGAGGATACCTTATCAGGTGCTAAAGATGCCCGCCGTCGACTGAGACACGCCCTCGAAGTTCAGCACATGGCCGTGTTTTTGTGCGCAAATGGATACTACTCGATCAAGTCGGACGACAAGTTGACTGTTCCGGACTCAGATGAGTTCAAGCGGCTGGACAAAATGGAATCCGAAGGCTACGACCTGGCGAAGGCTATCAGGAAGGAAATCCTGCAAGAGGTACTTTTGAATTCTCACCTTTTGTGCGACGTGTACTAACGGACTGTCTAGAGTTACGGCAAGGCGAGGAAGCTGATGGACAAGCTTGACGAATGTCGCGAGAAGCAAGACTTTGCGGTCATCCCAGCAGTTGATATACCCGAAGAAAGTGGCGTCGAGAGTAGCAATATCGTCATCGCTCTCGAGGGTATATACGAGGCCCTTGACCGGCAGGCCGAGAAGCTCGACGAATGGAGAGAGCATGTCATCCAACTTCTGCTCAGGCCGTTGGTGGATGAGGACAATACCGATGTTGAAGCCACAGGCCAGGAGTACGAGGAATCAACAAAGCTTCAGGATGAGATACTGGCATACGTACAGGTTTTGAAGGCCGCTATCGCCGACCAACAAGCCGTAATATCTGGGCAACGAAACGGCCTGATCGAACACGAAGTTGGGGTGGTGCTCAAAATGGCACGCGATGATATGGAAGTCGAAGAAGGCCAGGAGCCTCCCGAATCGGCCAAGCGGATCCTCGAGCTCTTTGCCTTTCGCGAAAGTATCAAGCCGAAATTCAAGGAAAGTGATGGCCACACATCCTTGAGGGGCATTATCTCGAAGCTTCGAGCTATGATGACAGATTTACGGCATCAGGAAGCGAGTGGGAGCAAAAGAGCAAAACTGGAGCTTGCTTTGGCAGAGCGCTTGTTAAAGTCAACTCAGGCTCAACATACGGACCAAGGCAAAGCAGCGACCGCCATGGAACAAGAGGTGGAGAACTTCACTGATATCTTGAACGCACGTCTTGATTTCTACCGGCAACTGCAGCAGGTTTCGGATTCGGTAGAGGAGTACACAGGGCCCACGAATGAAGAAGCCCTGCAGAGGGCCGTCAGCGAGGAAGAAAGGTTGAAGACGAAACTGGCTACAGCAGAGTCGAAGCATCGTTACTGTAGGTTATGCCCATCTAGACACCTGTGCTGCGATTTCATGATCCTCCGTGTAACGGGATGTACTGACACCCTATCTAGTGCTTCACCTCAAACAAGCCGATGCCTCCTCCGACGAGGAACGAATGTGTGTCATCTGCCAGTCTCCATTCTCCATCGGCGTCTTGACAGTCTGCGGCCATCAGTTCTGCAAAGAGTGCATCACAATGTGGTTCGCAGCTCACCACAACTGCCCGGTCTGCAAGCGCTCTCTCAACCGCTCCAACCTTCATGACATCACCTACAAACCTCAAGAGCTCAAAGTCCACTCGGAAGGCCATACACGAGGAGACTCCTCCAATAAGCAGCTAGCCCACCGCGAACAACCAACATCCCCGTCAAAGTCCAAGAAACACTCAGCCAAAATCTACACCGAATTCAACCCCTCCAAACTCGCCGAGATCCAAAACATTGACCTAGAAAACGGTCCCCACTACACCACCAAAGCCGACACCTTAATCCGCCACCTCCTCTGGCTGCGGCAATCCGACCCCGGCGCCAAGTCCATCGTCTTCTCGCAGTACCAGGACTTCCTCTACGTCTTAGCCCAGGCCTTTGAACGCTACCGCATCGGCTACTCCTCATTCGACCGCGGCGCTGTGTCCAGCGTCGCCTCCTTCCGCGAAGACCCCTCCATCGAAGTCTTTTTGCTGCACGCGCGTGCGCACGCGAGCGGGTTGAACCTGGTCAACGCCAGCCATGTGTTCCTGTGCGAGCCGCTGCTGAACACGGCGCTGGAGCTGCAGGCTATTGCGCGCGTGGATAGGATTGGTCAGAAGCAGGAGACGACGGTGTGGTTGTATATTGTGGATGGGACCGTGGAGCAGAATGTTTATGAGTTGAGTGTGAAGAGGCGGTTGGAGCATATGGAGCATCGGAAGGTGACTACTACTACTACGTCCTCGATAAGAACGAAGGGAAAGAGCAAGGAGAAGGAGTCCGAGATGCTAGAAGAAATCAGCAGCCTCGACGCGGCCAACGCGCAAGAAATGCAGCAAGCGCACTTGAGTAAACTTATGGGTAAAGGATCGGATGGAGTGGTGGGTGAGGCGGTGGATCAAAATGATTTGTGGACTTGTCTGTTTGGAAGTGCCAAGCCTGCAGAACGGGCACCACCGACAACTGGTGGTGGTGGTGGTAATGATGAGGAGGCGGAGAGGTTGTTGGTGGAGAATCCGGTGACGAGGGGGTTCTTGGCTGGGGAGGCGGCGGAGGAGAGGAGTAGGAGGAGAAGGGATGGTGAAGCTTCAGGTTGAAGAGGAGGAGATGGAAGTGAATGAAGAGCTGGAGTAACGCGTTGAGTGATATATACCCCTGGTTTGCGGCCCATGATGATGGTTCTATGGTCCGGGTGTGTAGTTGGGTTGGGTTTATGGTTAGCTACACACTGCACTAGTCTATCTGGTCATTTGAGAGGCTACTATGCCAAGGCCAGAGAATAATAAGATTCATCCATCTCATGGAAATGAAAATCAACAGGTTGCAACCGTCGTATATATATCGTTCCTTGTATATATTAGATGGGTTTCCCTTCCTTGATATGACATTACTTATATCTCATCTTGGATAACCTCATCTTGCAAATTTCTACTCGGCGGGGACATAGAAATAAGTGTAGTAAGGACGTAAGTCTATATGTTGAAAGACGAGTGTGGTTTGGAAGAATAAACAGTACCAAATTGTCTCTGGTGATGTAAAGCTTAGTGAAGTGAAGTGGAGTGAAGTGGAGGGAAGAGAGGTGAAACTGACATGTTGTAATTTCATTAGTTCGAGCATGTTTCCACGTCGTCACTGCACGAGCCTAGATTAGGTTGCAGGGTTAAAGGTGTCCGGCAACCAAGTACATGCTCTCTAACAACCGCCAAAAGCATGATCTGATAGATCTTTAACCCTGCGTTTTCTGCATGCACAGCCTGGAAAAACGAGTTTCCCGAGTACCTATTTTACGGTACAGTGTTAGCTTCTCGCATAAAAATCATACGTAAAGTGAGGATGGTGAAGGAGAAACGCCGACGCCGATGACGAGAAGAGCCATTGATTGCCATGGTTGTCGACACAAGGTAAGGTGAGAAACCAGTTTCCGCAATCAGTGAACACATACAGAGTGCGGGATATCCCGGATCCAGAGTCCAGTGTCTGTATGCTCGCGCGCCTAGCATCATGTCAAGCATGGCGTGGAGGCGAGTGCAAGGTATAGTTTGTATAACACAGGACTGTTCCTTGGACAAGCATGATATGCATGTGGGGTTTGGAAAAGGAGAATGGCTTGGATGACAGAACTGGCGGATGCATGCGCTTATGTAGACGCGGTATTACGGGAATTTGAGGGAGGATCGATCTTTGAAAAACTTGTCTCTGGTGATTGTCCAGTCCGAGAGCGAGGGGATCACCAGAGTGAGTTAAACTCAAGACGGTGAAAAGAGATCCTTGGAATCCTCCGCATTGTGCCGTTCCGTTCAGTGATCTAAAACTACAAGCATTGTTTGACTCCATGATACCGCTCAATAAACCTCTCCTAACTCTAACTGTATGTATCTAATGCCGGTGACCGATGTTGGAACATGGGCATCTCTCGCTGCCTCTTGGGGTATTTGCATCCAACACGGTCTTTTAGAAGTACCGATACGCTCAAGATCCATCCAATCTTTTTGACTGGAAAAGGATCTCCATTAATGGTAGTAATGAATCCCACTCAATAAAGCAGTCATCCTGTGAGTCTGACAACCATCAGGGTAAAACAAATCAGAATCCCAAACGCCATGATAGTAACCTCCGACCCAACTCTTTCCATATCCATCCATCCCACCAACCCATCCTTTCTATTCATTTTGTGCACACTGGTTTGGACGTATCTATGAGTCCTTCTAAAGCATGGGGTCATAGACGTGCTGCTTGATGTACCTGTCGAGGGCCACGTCGCCCCACTCCTCCCACTCAAGCCACTGCTCTTCCGGTAGGGTGCTGACGCCTTCACGGCGAGCAGACTTCATCACCTCACGCGCAATAATGACGTTAGCCTCGCGGACACGGTCAATGCGGGGGTAGATAAGGCCTTTCTTGACCTCATCGGCATTGAGGGAGTTGGCCAGGGCAGCGGCCGAGGTGTAGATCATGTCATCGGTGACTTTGCTAGCCTTGGCGAGGATGGCACCAAGACCAATACCGGGGAAGACGTAGACGTTGTTACCCTGGTTAGGGTGATATAACACACCGTTAACGGCGTAGCTGGAGAAGGGAGAACCGGAAGCAAAGAGCACGGTTCCTTCGGTCCAGTCAACAGCCTCCTTGAACGTGCATTCAGCCTTGGTGAGAGGGTTGCTGAGGGGGAAGAGGATGGGCCTGCGTCCAAGTCCTCCGGCGTCGACGGAAGCCTTGAGGGCGCGGACGACCGACTCGGTGAAGACGCCATGGGTGGCGGTAAGACCGACAAGAGCAGTTGGCTTGACGTACTCAATGACCTCCTCGAGGGTGCGGAACTGATGGCCGTTGTTGTCAGTACGGGCGAAGTACTTCTTGTGTTCGGCCAGCCGGTCACCGCGATCCTTGGTCACAAGACCCTTGGTATCAACAAGCCAGAACTTGTCCTTGGCTTGTTGCTCCGAGAGGCCACGCTTGGTATAGTACTCAACCAGCTGCTTGGCAACGCCAACGCCGGCAGAGCCAGCTCCCATGAAGACAAGACGTTGCTCCTCGATAGGAACATTCGAAAGGTTGACGGCACCGATGTAACTATATTGTACAACAGATCGTTAGCAATTTGTCTCACGTCTAGGAGTCCCTCTGTGAAACGTGGAAGTTTCCGTTCAAGGCAATCCCCCTTCTCTGGAGATGAAGTGGTTCTCTAACTTACCCCGCAAGGACGACAGCACCAGTTCCCTGAATATCATCGTTGAAGCACTTGTACTGATCGCGGTACCGGTCGAGGTAGTTGAAAGCCTTTTCGCTTTCGAAGTCCTCAAACTGCACAACCATTTCCGGGAAGACTTCAGCGGCAGCCTCCATGAACTCGTCCATAAACTCCTGTTGCTCGGCAACCGGGATACGCTTCTGACGAAGCCCCAAGTAGAGAGGGTCCCTCAAGTTGGTCTCGTTGGCGGTACCGCAGTCGAGGACGATGGGGAGCGTCTTGTCCGGGTGGATACCAGCAGCAGCCGTGTACAAAGCTAGCTTACCGATCTGGTGGATGTTAGTGTCTGACTAGCGTATGCAACTAAATAATTGCCCAAGACACTTACCGGAATGCCAACACCATTGACACCAAGGTCTCCCAAACCGAGAATGCGGGAACCGTCAGTGACGACACAGATCTCGGGCTTAGGATAGGGCCAATTCCTCAAGATTGTCCGAATCGACTTCCTTTGCTTAATGGAAATGTACAAAGCTTCCGGACGAGTGTAGAGGGTCGAGTACTGGAGGCAGACGTCACCAATGGTGGGAGTGTAGACCAATGGCATCATCTCCTTAGCATGATCCATCAGGATCCGGTAGAAGAGGTCGACGTTCTGGCTCTTGATGGTCGACAGGTAAAGATACCTGTCAATGTCGGTCTGGCGAGTGCGGATCATCTTGAGCGCACGCTCAACCTGCTTCTCGGAGTCCTCCATGACGTGCGGAATCAGGCCAGTCAGGTTCTTGGATACACGCTCTTGAGGAGTGAAAGACGTCCCTTTGGGTGAAATGTAAATGTCAGTAACTGTGGCCATGTTGTGTACGAGGGGCGACGAGGACGGTTCCGGCGAATATGACACAGACGAAGAAGACGAAAGTGCTGGGCCGGAAACAGGTGAGGTGGAAGAAGACAGGCGAGGTCGGGAAACAGAAGATGGGAGGAAACGTGAATATAAGCAAGTCTGGCGTGCGTGCAGAAGTCTGGCAGACCAAGGCATGATAGCCCCAGGACCTTGACGGACAGCAGAGACTGATGATGCGAGCATGGCCAGATTGACTCAAGGAAGGTGTGGCGGGAAAAGAAGCGTGGGACGTGGAGGGAAAGGGAAGAGAAAGAAGAAAAAAAAAAAGAAAAAAAAAGACCAGTAGGCTTACCCTTGTTCCAGTGGGGTTGGTTGAGCACCTGGTAGCCCCGGGCCTCTTCGTGGGAGATGTACTCGGTAGTGGTCTCCTGGTGGACCTCTCCGTACGTACTTTGGCAGTAGCCCCTCAGTGTGTCGAGGCTGGCCATCTTTAAAGCTTCTTCAATGGTCGCTAGATCAACGGAAGACATCGGATTCGAAGCCGAAGTGCGCCGAACTGAAGAGATGGACATGCGTTTTGCTGCACTGAAAGTGGACGAGTGGGAGGAGCGTGCCGACGCAACTGATGCAGATGAGTGAGGAGAGCTTGACCGTGGGGTCGAGAGATCAGAAGAGCCTGAGGAAGTGTGCGACGCCATTGAGTATGAAGAGGAAAGCGAGAACGGGTCCAGAAAAGCCAGGAATGGGCGGATTAAAGAGGACAAATCGTCGAGGTGGCCGGTGAGGTTGATATCAGTAGTCCACTTGTTGGGGAGGGTCCGGTCCCAGCCTAGCAGGTTACCCCAACTAAACCTTCTGGAAAAGGAATTTGGAGGTGAGGTGTAAGTCGAGGCCGGGGGGTTGCGATTAATGCCGGGGTCTGGATTGGAGGTACCGGTACTTGTAGATGCACCAGCAGAAGTAGTAGTAGCGACGAGTGAAGAAGCAGCGAACCGTGAAGCAAGCAACAGACCCTTTGTCAAAGTCAAAGAGGATAGATGATGAGAAGATGTTCTTCCAGCATCCAGTTTACTCGAGAGGACCGGCCGACTTAAAACCTTTTGCAGTCGACCGGTTGCACCGGACATGAGCACCGTCCAGGGCGAAACCGGGAGTCTGTTTTTACCCATGGCCCATGCGATGCGAGATTGAGATGGAACGCTATGCCTTTTTTTCGCTGCTTTCACTTACTAATTCCTGTTACCTTTTGCTCCCTAGTTGGGCATCAAGAGGATCACTGTTAGCTGCCGCATAAGCTATGGTAAGAAGGACCAGGAGCTTCTGAGGTGCTTGGGGTGTTGCTTGTCGTGACAGAGGCCTGTCTGGCGGGTTTCGGGAGCCGGGATATGGCTGTTTCAAGGGCCGCTTGCTGCCCGTGAAGGAGGAGGGTGTTCGTGTACACAGTATGTCCGTGGTGTCCTTGTCTCTGGCAAGAGGAGTCTCCGACTTGTGCCGCCGGCTGTGGATTCCATAACACACGATGAACGCTTGGGGGAGGATCGGATGGTGTGGGCTGGGTCTGGCCTGGACGGCTGGGCATGCCCCAAAGAGGAAAAGAAAAGGGAGTGTACACACCTTGTGGTCCAGCCGTTGGAGACACCCGAATACACCCGGTTGGGGTTGCTGTGACCGCTTGTTGCTGCGACGAATATGCAGCTCAGAATGCCTCCGGGAAAGTGTTGTACCGGGACGTGAAAACCGACGACAAATAATTGAAAACGATATCCGTGAATTGGTCGGTACAATGATGGTGTTGTTACAGTAGCAGCCCTAGGTACGAATAGCGTAATAGCGTGTATGTACCTTGCTTCTACAAATTGGAGGCAACAACGGCAGATCCCGGCCACGAAGATGATATGATGATGATCGATCAACACCAAAAATGAGGAATGTGAGATGGAGAAAAGGTAAGGTAGGTACGACGGGAGATCGAGGAGATGGAAGCAACGAAAGGGCTGCAAGGGCAGTTTTACGTGGAGGATGCCCTTTCCCGTTCCATCTGTCAACGGGCTCTCCCGTCCAGTCTCGCACCCGTCGTCCACCCTCTGCGTCCCGTTCTTGTCATCTTTTCAGAACAGTCATTTTTGGGAACAGGTCGTGTGCTGTTCGTAGCGTTCCATTGAAATTCTCATCTAGGAAATGAAAACGTAAAATCTCCACGCGCGGTAATGTTTCGGGGTGTGGCCGGCGTCGTGTATTTCGAATTTCCATGAAAAGGAGCCAGAATGTGGTCAAGGTCGTTTGGACAGTGGACTTTGGGGCACGTCACAGTCACTGCTTTGCTTCGTAACGCTGGAAATGCAGGTGCAGTCCGCGTGCGGTGCCGCTTGTCAGACCCGAAGTCCCCACCGCTACTCCACCGCCTTAGCGGCTAGCGGCTCCTGCCCCTGTCCATCCATCCACAGTCCCCCGCTGCTTCGAGTCCTTCGACAACATCATACTGAGCTTTGCATCAGAGTCAAATTCAAGGTTCCTGCAGCTGATGTGAGAATTGCAATGGAAATTGTACGGTGAAACTTTTGAGGTTATCGTGGCTTCCATCCTCAACGTTGATATGATAACGCCCAGCCTAATTTGGGGACCAATGAAGGAGGAAGGCGGATGGGACGGACGTCCGAGCATTGTGCATCCTGGACTCTACTCAGATCTGACATACAGCGCTGATTCCTTCCAGTTTTCTTTCCACCCAACTGCACCTTCCACAGTCCGTCGCCTTTGTGTGACCGGAAAAGTGAGAGAGTCACGCAGTGCTTTTGTTTCGATGGGCAGCAGCAACCGTCAACCTCAAGGCGCCAATTTGTGGAGAAGTGGATTTCGAATTCGTCGAACCCGACATCTTTTCGATACAGGAGCCGCAGGGTGACCCTGATCACCCCGCTGTCCAATCAGCTGCTTCAATTACACACATCAGCTTCTTAATCGGGCTAGCGGGCCCTTCCCGCTTCGTTGGAATTGTGTAACACAGTAACATCGGGGTTGAATACACAGGACCTCGAATTCCACCTCAATTTGTGTTTGATTCCATCTCCCGTCGGTTTCTCGGAAAGGCTTCGTAATTTTTTCGATCAAATTCCCAACAGACTGTCTATCCAACTTTCCGCTCTGCGATTGCAACGTCTACGATTGGCAACGCCCGCAACCCGTCCACTTTTTCTGCGAAAGCCCTTGAAGTTATCACGGCGCAATTACGGCTAAAAAGGGTCGCAAAATCCACGATGGAATCATGAGACACTGAAAACTGTGGACCGCAGTTTTTAGTGGGTGCCAGTACGGGGCTGGAGTGCTGAAGGCGACGGCGTCATTGTAGGGCTTGTATCTCTACACTCTTCTTCAGCTCTCCCTGTACCACTGCCACCACGACCTTTTCGTCCAGGGCTGACATATCCGTTACACCTCAGCTTTCCACTCTTGTGGTTTGGATGCGGACTCCTACAGGTCGTACGGCGGTGACAGGATTGATTGGAATTGCGGCCCCCATCGACAGCCCATAAACACGTACGTTCGTGTTGGCCGTCAACACCGCTTCAATCTTCATACCCTTGTTTGTCATTAACTTGGGCGACGGAATTGTACCGTCAGCTCCGGTCTGGACCCATAGCGGACTGCGATAAGGTAAGGTTGCTGATAACTCCCATCCATTTTGCCCCTCTGTCGCGCCAAAAGTATCGTGACTTGGGCGTCAGAATCAGTAAACATAATCAGGTCGCTATCTTAGGGCCTACGGTCACCGATATCCAAATGCCGGACGAGTTTAGGCTGGAGGATTCGGTCATTCCGTGTCGGTGAATGTGGATCCCCTCGTGATGCACCCAAGGCACCAGCGGGAGCGTCTCGCTTCGACGAACCCTGGGCGTTCAGGGGCTGACCGGGGGCAGCAACCAGGCTCGCCAAAACTCACATCCGCCCAGGGTGACACGCATCGAATTGACGAAGCCAAAAATACTACGAAAGGCATGGATTCCTGTCCGACTTCACCCGAGATTGTTGCAGCGTCTGTTTTGGGCGCTGAGACAATCGGACAGGGAGGGTGACGAGATGTTACACAGTAAAGTCCGGACTTCTAGAATCCTTGGCCATCGGGGAAGTGTAAAAAGTTGAAAGCCAAAGGGGAAAGGAGGTGAGTGATCCCCAACTCAGCGCTGCCTTCAGCTGTGGAACCCCTGGGAGAGCGCCAAGTCTTTCCCCGGATTGTCCTCGTTGTCTCAAACCTGCATCACGCTCATCCCTTCTTCCCCTGCCTCCAATTGTTTCGACGATCACATCCTCCTTCGAGCTCAACTCTCTTCAGTTTATCAAAATCATAACCTGCCGGGAGACAGACATTAAATGTTCAACTCAACCGTCTTCCCCAACATCTTGATCGTCCCATGTCCTTCCTTGTCACATTCATGACATGGGGCGATCCGATCTATCATCAACATACCTCTAATACCTCGAGCTTTTGCTGGGCCCGACATCCAGATGTGACGCTGGTACATCACTGCTTTACACCAATGATCAGCGTTCCGTTTCAACCATATGATGACAAGCCGGAAGACGATGGCTGATACTGTCAAGCTGCGGGAACTTTTACAATGACATTCGAACCGAGCTTGAGGCCCGGGCTGCATAGCCGTTGGCTTCATCTCCAAACCGGCCCGCCAGTGCAGATGCTCGTTCGAGTCTAGCGCTAACTGTTGTCAAGTGCTCAACGTTCCCCTGTTGCCCAACGTCTTCTTTGCTGTCTCGGAATTATATTCTTTGCTCTCACATCATCAGTCCGCGTTACTTTGATCTGTATCAAAGCTGACCAACACTCAAATGCATCAACATCTTCCCGCTTCCCTACACTTTAATGCCTCCAACGATTCTAAAACCATCCCCACGATTTAGCAGCAAGTGCCTCGTGGTGGCTGTCCATCCGATGGGGGAAATGGTCTCGAGTCACCCAATCACAGACTTTGCCTTGGCGAGTCAGCCGCAGGGTAGTAAACCGTATCTGGGGTAGTTCTCCTTGGCATGCCTGGACCCTCCTCTCAGCTCCTGTCCCGGCAATGTCGTCTTGGCACCATCGATCTCTTTGACATATGATTGCCGTGATGCGATCTCGGTAAGCTGGCGGCCATCCCGGGTGCCTCTCCCCTGGATCCCTAGGTCTCTGGACCAACGGGAACTGTCCATTGATTGTTGGCTGAAAGCCTGGAACTCCCGAACCGTGCCCGGTCAACTCCCGGCTATGACCTGCTTGGCGGAGGTCTTGGTAAGGAGTGGTAACATTCACCAACCCAGGGGTAAGGAGTTCGGGGGAGGCTGCGGCAGGGTCTCGGGGTTGGTTGTCATGGTTGACTTGTCCGGGGGTTGAGGCTCTCTCGACGCGTGTCGTTACTCCGCAGCCCCACACTCAACCTCCAAGCATGTGCTCGTGGAGAAGTGGGATGGGTAAGGAAGCTAAGAGGAGACATGACTCGAACCACCCATGATGATCGGGACCGTTTTCACAAATTAAGCATATCTCAGCCATGCCACACACCTCGTTTCTCCCCCGCATTGCAGTGGCTGATCCCTTCCCCCGGGCTCCCGAGTCATAGCTCCAGATCTCCAAAACACATGTGTGTTATCATATGGGAATTGACCGGGTTTTGCTTGTGATTCATTTTCCTATTCACAAACCTCCGAGTCCATTCACCCTGGACACTCACATAGCAGAGACCAACGAGGCTGACTGTCGTTGATCTCACACTATTCGAAGAATCGGACGATACCAATCCTTTTGGTTTACGTCTTCGCAAATCATATCGTATTTCTGCTTTTCGACAAGACGTAAACTTCTTCACATTCAAATCTCTTGACGATTTACGGACACCAGCCACCTATCGTCAACACGTCGTCATCATTATTCTCGCCAATTCATCGGTTGTCGAGCGATTTTCTTACAATTACAATTCAGGGACCCCCCTTGATTGACTACGTGTGATTCATCATCATCAACAGGCTATAAGCGATTAACCATGTTTTGCAGATGCCAAGTCCCTACCTTGATCATCTACATGAGTCACATGTAGTACCTATACCAACAACAAGGTGGTCCGTAGTCAACACTTATATAGCAGGCCATCCTCATGTCCGGAACGCATGAACAACAACCCGGGGAACACGATGTAAGTGGCCCTGGTAGTCCATGGCGGAGCTCGGTGATGTTTCCAGATTCCACAATGTTTCCTCTGACTCCATCAAACAATGGGGATGCCGAGGCGGCGGCCCCGCGGGGGAAGGCGGAGAGTTCTCCATAGCACTCCATCAACTCCATCAACGTCAACTCCATCAATCCCTTAAACTCCGCTCTCCATTCTCTAGAAGTCAACTAGAAATGCGGAGTATTTCCGCTACACCGAGAGAGACAGGGGACACTTAGTTTGTGGACTACATAGTCACCGAGAAGATGCGAGTAGCGAGCACATGACAAGTGCACGGACTGACTGACTGAGTCAAACGCTGCCACGATCGGGAACTGAATCTCAGAGAACGGGTGTTGATGTTGAAATTTCGCGGAAATTGGGATGTCACGCGACTCAGAAACTATCGGGTCGTTCCTTCCCCAGACTGGTGCTCGCTCAGAAGGTAAGGTATACAAGAAGGAGGAAGCGACGGAGAGTAAGTGGGAAAGATCGAGCAGTCGAACTGCTCGGTCGGGTCCGTCGTCCCTGCCTCCCGCCCCGTTCTACAGGCAGAAAAAAAAAAAAAAAAGGCCAGAAGGAAGAAGAAAAGAAAAGAAAAGAATACAGAAACCGTGAAAGAAAGGGAACAAGAATTAAGCTGAAAGGGAAGGGAACAGAAGGACGAGAAAGTAGGGAAATGAAGCAAACGTTAACATCAATTGGAAAGCAAAGTACCTTGGGAGACAGGAACGAAGATAGTAGACAATAGCAACCTTAAGTTATTCAACCCGCGAAGATCTCAAAAAAGCGAAGCAAAGGAATATTGAAGACCTGGTGTTCAGGCACTGGCAAGTTGGGTTCTCTACCTGACCTTCGTTAGTGCCTGTTTACCTAAGATGAGACCGTGGTAGAGTATCGACATGTCTGAGTTGTACTGGAAGGCCGTGTAGGACATTTTTGAGGAAAAGAGGACAAGACACTTGTGTGCTCTGAATGAAGCTTTTCTTGCTACAACACTTTTTGGGAGATGCTTGGCCTGACTGTCTTGTCATCCTACCTGTCGTATTCTCGTGCTGGTCACGGCTGGGATCATAGTTTAGTTCTGTAGAATCCTTTCATTCTTACAGATATCCTTGACCACATAAGGTGGCTTTCCTGCTCTAGTTTGTTATCTTAAACTCCATTACGTTTGCGTGCAGCCTCTAACATGCAGCTGATAGTTTCCGGGCTTCAGCCAACTTGGACCAAATATATACGACTGATTCCTACCTCGACCCAGGCGCCCTGAAGAGCATTCTAGTCTGACAAAGTGAAGAGCTGTCAGAGCTAGAAGCAAGGGAAACCTTGTCCCAACGGCTCGGCTGTCGGTGACACCTCCATATGGCCAACACATCCTAATCCATCTAGCAGTCTAGAAACTGAATATCACATGTCCTTTTACCAGAAACTCACAAAGAGGTTCTAAGGCTGAGTACAGCTAAAATAGTAGCAAGACATATAGCCACAAAATCAAGTAACTCCACAGATGCAACACACCATGTCGAGGAGTAAGGTCCCTAGTTTCCTCTGAACAAGAACTGCAAGTCCTCAGGACTTAGCGAGTCCATCGCCGCATCATCAGCGTTGATGGTCGAGTTGATCATGTTGGTCTTCTTCTCTTGCAGAAGGACCATACGACTCTCAACGGAGTCCTCGATGCAAAGTCGGGTGATCGTACAAGGTCGGCTCTGGCCGATACGGTGGCATCTGTCGGCGGATTGCCATTCACTACACTCTCGTTAGTCAAAATGTCTTTCAAGTAACGATATAAGGGCAAACATACGCTGCTGGGTTCCACCAAGGATCCACGATGAAAACTCTTGAAGCCTCAGTGAGGTTCAGAGCGACACCTCCTGCCTTGAGGGATACCAAGAAGCACTCGACCTCCACGTTCTTCATGAAGTGGTTAATCGAAGCCTGGCGTTGGGCTGGAGTCATGCTGCCGTCAAGCATGACGGTGGTGATACCAGCACGGCGCAAGCGCCACTCGATGAGCTGAAGCATGGTGGTGAACTGGGAGAAGATGATGGACTTGTGGGAAGCGTTATCGGATCGGAGCTTGTGGAGTTCGTGCACCAACAACTCTATTTTGGATGATGAAGTCCAATTCTCCATCTTGATCCGGTTGATAATGGATGACTTCTTGACCTGCGCCTCGTCCTGCTCGAGCTCGGGCTGCTCCAAGTCGATGGATAGAGGAATGTGGCAAGAAGGGCAGTTCGGGTCCGTAGCCGAATGCACATACGTCTTGACGCAAACACGGCAGAAGTCGTGCTTGCAACGAGAGCGAATGGCATCTTCAGCAGGCTCGTCACAGATACAGCACACGAGCACATTCTGACCACCTTCACCGTTCTTCTTCAGAATCAGATCCGGATGATCAGCGACCTGTCGCATCTGCATAATGAGGCCAAAGATGTTGGCGTAGTTGTTCAGCAGCACACCAGTGGCAACGTATGTGTCGAACTTTCGCTGGCCGCTTGTCATGATGCTGTTTGCAAAATCGTTCTCCACCTCGCCGAAGAACTGACGCTCAACGTTGATCTCCTTGACTGGAAGCTCCATTGCGTTGGTGTGGTCCTTCTTCAGTCTCCGCAACATGATGTGGTCCGTGAGGATTCGTAGCTTCTTGAAGGCCAAAGCACCCTCACCACGGTTTCCGTACTTCTGGATGGGGTTGAGGAGCTCTTGGTTGAACACCGAGACGTGTTGCATGGCGCTGTGGTTGCAGTGCTTGCACCTGTTGTCTTCGTCCATGCCCCATTCGAGAGTCTTGCAAGGGCATCCTTTGCACAAATAGCATGCGAATGGTCGAATGTTAAGGAAGCGGATTAGAGAGAAGAACTCTCCGATGCGGTTTTGCAACGGTGTACCGCTGAGACACCATCGATAGGTAACCTTGAGGGCGAAGCATGCCTTGGCCGTCATCGTTGTTCGGCTCTTGATGCTATGTGCCTCGTCCAAAATGACTCTGTGCCACTCGGTCTGGTGGACGACGGATTTCTCCTTGTAGAGCCCCTCCTTGCGCTTGAAGCCCTTCTCCTGCTTCCGGTACATGGACTCCAAACTGTTGTAAGACATGATGATCACATCATAGCTCTTGATGTCCTTGACAGTGAGGTTCTTGGACTTGGAGTTGGTACCGTGAACGACCAGGGTCTTCAGCGTACCGTCAGTGTATGACTCAATCTCCGTCATCCACTGCATCAAGGCCACAGGAGGCACAAGAACGAGTGAAGGCTTCTTAGCGGGATAATCTGACATGATCAGGGACACTGCCTGAATCGTTTTACCCTATGATGTGACAGAAGCAGTTAGCACACAGGAACTAAAACGAAACCGAGGAAGAAGCCGTAACGTACCAGGCCCATCTCATCGCCGAGAAGTCCTCCCTTCCACTCTGTCTTCTCCATTGCTGTCATCCAGGCCAGCCCTTCAAGCTGGAATGGCTTCAGCTGTCGTGAAATGGACTTTGGTTGTTCAGCCCTACCAGCCTTCAAAACGGGCATATTTTCCAGATCTTTCCACATCGTATTGAGTTCGGGATGTTGTTTCTCGAGACGGGATCGGTCTGACTTGACACGCCTATTGCTCCGGTACGATCGGTACGCACGCCGGTTGTTCATCTGTGCCCTGATACGATCAAGACCCTCGCCCGCTTCAGCAATGTGGGCGCCCAAAGTGGCATCTTCGTCGTCCTCGTCGATAGGCACGTAACTGCCATTGCCTAGAACCGATATTTCGTCTGCCTCGTCTGGAAGCGACATGTCAATCTCGAACTCTGATTCGTTTGGAGGACCGTCTAGGTCAAACTCGACCTCCGACTCGGGAGGACCAGTCACAATCAGGTCAAACTCATCCTCCGATTCTGGCGGAGGCGCTTTTGCCTTTCCCTTTCCCTTCTGGGCCGCTGAAGGGCGACCCTTACGAGAGCGCCTGCTGAGGGGTTGAATAGAATCGTCGCTATCGTTCCCATCCTCCGGCTCTTGCGGGGGCGCTTTTGCCTTTCCTTTTCCCTTCTGGGCCGCAGAAGGGCGACCTCCCCGGATAACGACATCGCTATCGTTCTCATCAGACTCGAAGGCCGACAGAGAACTAGAGGAATCAACGTCTTCCTCAGAATCAGCAATCAAGTCTTTGGCTGTCCTAAACCGAGGAACTTGAATGGAGGACTCTGCCGCACCACGCCTAGCGGAGTTCTGTAGAAGTACAGGCTGCTTCCCTTTTGCAACGGCGGTAGATTTGCCAGTGGCTTTGGATGACGCCCGGACTGGAGACGAGTTGAGCCCTCTCGAACTGCGACGAAGTCCAATTGCCCTAAAGTTGGATGTGGTCGCTTCCTCTTCAGAATCTTCCTCTCCGTATTCCTCAGCCTGAAGTTTCCGGGCAAGTATAGCATCGGGGGTATCGTCAAAGCCATCATCCTCGCTGTCCGCAATGACCCCTTTCTTAACCTTGCTGCTCGAAGCATTAATGTTGCCCCGAAGAGAAGACCGCGTGCTACGCGGGGTACTGCCCAAACGATCAACTCGGAAAGAGGGTGTTTTGGATGATGATGCTACCTTTGCATCATGACCATCATCGGAGTCATCTTCTTGGCTGTCCGCCACCACATCTCTCTTCCGCTTGCTAGTCGTAGCAGAGGTGCTACTGCGAAGCGTTGTCTGCATAGTATGTGAGGCCTTGAGAACGGGTATAGCCACCTCAATCTTGGAAGCGGACCGGGTCGACCTGGTGGACCGTACGTTCTCCTTGAGTAGAGATGGCGTCGGGGTCGCACCATGACTGGTAAGCGGCGTAGCATACTCACTACCAGATGTGTATGTCGCCGGGGTCGGTACGGAAGACGCCGTGGCACTAACGGCCGGGGTGGCCGATTTGCGAGGCCGACCGCGAGGCTTCTTGGTTTCCGCGGGAGGAGGTGCTGCTACTGTGATACTGATGTCAGTCTGTGATCACATCCAAACCATGTGCTATTCTATCTCCAACTCCAACCGGGAGGATAGAGCTTCATTGGGAGACCTACCAACAACCTCGTCGGCCGCAGCCATGGATCTTCTGGTTCTAGCCATCTTCTCTGGTTCAAGTAGTCGGACCTGTTAAACAAGTAGACCCAAGTTGAGAAGATGGACAGGGTGATAGGGTAGCACCGAAACGAATTCGACAAAGTGCCTCTGTTGAAGTGTGGCGTGGTTTGAGAGAAGTGGAGGGTGCTAGAATTGACCGATATTTGATAGACAAATAAAGGCAAGGTATCGGACTGCGGGGGAACGTCCTGAAGATTATCGTAAGGTACGGTATTATGCCTGACCAACCGAAAGATAGACGGGCAACAGGTAAAAGAACAGACAACCAGATCACCAATAAACGAGCGGTGAAATCCTTGGGAGAAAGAGAAAGATTGAAGACGTAACGGCCTGCGCTCTCAAAATGTCGAAGCGGATGACCCGGTGAAAGTGAAGAGGACACCCTGTAACAAGTGGTCCGGGAGGAAGTCGTGGCAGTGATTCACAGAGGACGGGCAGGAGGGATGAGATGGATGCAGATTGCAGGAGAAAATTCCCGTCGCGTCAACGGAAGTCGAGGCGAATCGCCACTGCGCCTTTCATTCACTGGCAGCTTCAAAGGCTTTTCAGCTTTCCCGAGTGGGCGACGCAGCTTCCACCTTGTATTACGTACAAAGCCAAGACATGATCCGTGGCTCCCCCACTGTGGACAAGGAAAGCGCGCGTCGTCTTAACGCGAGGGCACATGACCTCCCAATGATTTGATTGGTCGATTGCGGCCTCAGTTGGTTCCATTCTCAGGCAGAAGCAGCTCTTTCAGGGGAGTCCCTCCCTTGGCACGGTGCAAACTGCCTGAAAGAGGTACCTTTGTCGCAAACTTTAATTGAATTTGCCCCTCAACACGTCCGCGGGCTGCACTCCTCGTATCTCCGTGTTGTGCTTTCCCTACACCTTTCTTTTTGCCCGAAACTTTTCCCAAACATCGCCCCTCCTGCGTTTGTCTTTGTTTCCTCATCTGGAGACCTTCATTCGTTCTCGTCGCTCGTCCAGAAGTTGTACGGAATTCCTACTCGACTGACAGTACTCTCACCTACCTAGCCCAGATAACATCACAGGGAACTCTCGCCGGTGCACGGCCCCGCCAAAATGTAAGCTCGAGTTGTTACGACGATCCATCAGAAAACGATCACTAACATCAATCGCCAGGTCGAGACAACAGAACAACCGGTCGAGCCGACAGATTAGGGGACCGTACGTAGTTCTCGCTCTTTTTTTCATGGATTTTTTTATTGGGCGAACGAGCATCGAGATGCTAACAAGTTCCGCAGTCAATCGGCTCTGACTGATTTCTTAGCCGTAAGTGACCCAGCATAGGGAGACCTCGGAGCCGTCCAAATCCTAACGTTTCGTATCTAGTCGCATAACATCTCGGCAAATCAGATTCGTCTTGATGCCGACGCACGACGGAGAGCAGCAGAACAGGAGAATGGTGCTAGCTCCTCTAATCAGCAGCAAGCTGCGGAAGATGAAGTAGGAGAGTCATCTACGGTCACAACCTCTGTTACTGTTACAACCAGGACATCTCGACGGAAGAAGGACCAAATGGTCATCGACAAGATCAAAGCTAGCAAAACGTATCAGAAGCGAAAGCGAAATGCAGACGAGGATGACGAAGACGACGATTTGCTGGATACTCTGCTTCGGGAGCGCGCTCCTCTACCGGGCCAAATGGACAATTGCGCCAACTGTGGAAAGCGGTTCACTGTCACGGCATACTCGCGCAATCATCCCGATGGAGGCCTGTTGTGTAGCCCCTGTGGAAAAGAGATGGACAAGGATGCGCCGCCCAAGAAGAAGCCGGCCAAGCGTGCTGCTGCCGGCCCGGTAGGGAGACGCCGACAGATTCAGAGCAAGATCCTGGATGGCACATTCCAACTCGGAGCTAAAAGCTTGATGACACTCTGTATCGAGACTCTGGCCAAGAACATCGACCTGGCTGAGGATCTAGGTGATCTGCCTCAGCCAGTCATCGACAAAATCGCCCGGAAGCTCTCGAAGCATAGACTTCTCAATCCCACAACACTCAGTCTATTTTTGCAGCCAACGACTGATGAGGTCTGCATTTACGATGGCGCCAAGCTCTCCGCCGACGATTATATTCGCATTTTCCAGACAGTACCAGGACTCAAAAAGTTGAAAGCTCGCAACGCCATCCACTTCAAAGACGAAGTCATGGACTTTCTAGTCTCTCGTAAAACCGAGCTTGAGGACCTTTACCTTCACGGCTCCAACCTCATTGACGAAGAGAAATGGCTGGAGTTTCTCCAAAAGAAGGGAAAATCCCTACAATCTCTCCGCGTCTACTGGACAGACAAGCACTTTGGCGACTCCGCCCTGGCCGCCCTCCCCTCATCATGTCCGTCTTTGGTCCGCCTCAAGGCGTGCCATAACCAGAAGATCACTGGCGAGGGCATAAAGCACCTCGCCCAACTGAAGCATCTCAAGCACCTCAGCATTGATTTACGCAATCACGTCCATTCGGATGTCTACGTCAACGTCCTCTCTTCCATCGGTCGTAATCTCGAGACGTTCTCTATCACGCGCGAGATCGACCTTGACAACACCGTCCTGGACGCTATACACAACCACTGCCGCTCGCTGCAGAAGCTGCGTATTACCGATAGCGAGGTCATGACAGATGAGGGTTTTGCCCGTCTCTTTACTAATTGGGAGAACAAGTGCTTAGTGTTTGTCGACCTGCAAAAGTGTCGACAGGTAGACTCGGCAAACCCGCGCGAGAACCCGGACAACATCGGCTTGTGCGACAAAGGCTTCAAGGCATTGATGGCACATTCCGGAAGGAAGATTCAGCATCTGAACGTGCACGGGTGCAGGCACATATCAGCAAAAGCCTTTGAGGAGGTGTTCCCCGCGGATGGCAAAAAGGTCTATCCAGAGTTGAAGAACCTGGAGATTAGCTTCTGCGAGGAAGTGTCGGATTTTATCGTTGGGAGCATTTTCAAGTGCTGCCCCAATATTCATGAGCTGAATGTTTTCGGCTGCATGAAGGTGAAGAGTGTGAGGGTACCCAAGGGAAAGATCCTTGTGGGCGTGCCGAATGCGTTGGGAATGGTTATCGAGGGTGTTGATGATGACGAAGAGTGAATGGCAGCACGTGTGTGCCTGTGTTGTAACAACACTTCTCCCCATTCTCTACGTTTCTTCAGTCACATCATCATCTGATTTCTTTAGCCTTTGACATGGTCAGAGTTTATCTCCTCATTTATCTTCCTAGTGTGCTATATATGCACATTGGAGAGGAGCGGGAGCAGGAATATGGCCTGACCTCCTCGGCACATCTCTGTTGGGCTGAAATTAATTGTAAACTAATTGCCATCTCCATCATTTCGGATGGTCAGCTGAAAGGAAGGGGCCAAGCTATGCTCCCCAGATACGCCCTTGAGGCTGTGTTTAGACCAGTTTAAAACAGACACCATCAAGTCGAGCAATTACTAGTTAGCTGAGGTTTAATATGATGATAGTAGACACTTCAAGCAATGCTGGCGACAGCGGTCTCAAGCATTCATTGTATACATACTGATCTCCCTGCAGTGTCACCCACCTGTCAGTCACAAGCACATGCTGTGTACCTACATCAGATTCCACTCGTCCCGCAGCGGGTCCGCATGACGGGAACGCAGAAAGTCCCCACCCTCTGGTGGGACCAAATGCGGAGAATCCCTGTCATATACGTCTCATAGGGCAGCCCCAAGACGGAATTGGAGAAGGGGAGGGGCACGAGATCTTCACCCCTGTCTCTCACTTGTTTCTCCATCACCCCCTCCTCGTCCGACAGGATCGTCGTCAGGTCAACTCGTTTATTGGCGACATGAAGGACGGTTGGAGGAGGAACGGTTTGGCTTCCCGGTCGAGCCAGTCCACCTTCCAGCCGATCCGCTCACCTTAAACATGACCCCCTCCCCCTTCCCTAAACTCCATGGAATCTGGATCCTTTTTCTTCTTTTTCCAATTTACCTCGCTGTCTCACTCTTGTTCAACACGGGGTTAGACATTGTCATCCTTCGGTATTCTTTTGTATAGTCCTTACAGAGTATCTCTGAACCTATTTGTCCTCTCCCTTGGCTGTTCACCCTTTGACTGGCCCAAAGCGTGACAATTCATAGAGCGCGGCTCCTCGTATTTTCCGAATCTTGATCGCTGCGACTGTCGCTTGCAAAATCAATTATATGGCAACGAGACAGTGAATACTGAGAGAACCACTCCTCTCCGAATATGAGGTTCGATTTCCTAGCGCTGGCCGCCGTAGCCAGCGCATCAACACTTACGCCCAATGTCCTGCCGTTGTTTGTCCGCAACCCGTACCTGAGTACATGGCTGGGAAATGCTCGAAAAGCACCATGGGAGGATTGGCCCATGTTCTGGACTGGGTCTCACGTAAGTATCTATCTGGTTTGAGACGAGCAAGGAAGCTGACCCCTCTTAAAACCGGAATAGCTGGGGTTTTCGGTCATGGCATCAGTTCCCGACTCCGGCAAGATCTATCCCCTCATCGGACGACCTCATGATTCCATTCATCACGGGCACAAGCTCTACAACATCACCTTCCCTGAATACCTAGGCCCTACCTTTGACGCCTCGACCACGAACCTGACTTACCTTCTCCACGGATCTTCCCCAGACGAGCCAGTGAAAATTACACTTTCGTTCCTCTCCCCCATCACCCCGTCATCCACCCTCCGACAGTCGATACCTGCCGCGTATTTGACCGTCATTGCCGAGGGCTGCTTCGACGTGACGATTTACACAGATGCCAATGGCGAATGGGTTAGCGGAAATAGGGCGAACGAAATCAAGTGGGATTTGCACGAGCCCAAGGCACCAGAAGAAAGCTCGGAGGATGCAACACGCATCAAGACCTGGAAGTGGTCACGTCAGACAGAGCAACACTTGACCGAATATAATGATCACGCTGAATGGGGAACCCTACACTTCACCGGTCCGGCCGATGCCCAACATGAAGCGGGCACGTCTGACATTCTTCGTCAACACTTTGCTGAGAAGGGCTATCTGCGGAATCAAATTGACCGGGACTTCCGTCGCATCATGCAAGAAGAGCCCGTGTTCGCTTTTGCGAAGACCTTCAAACTGGCCGGGGAGTCCAAAAAGAAGGGCTACTCAAAGACAGAAGACAACGTGGTTTTCAGCTTTGCTCTTGTCCAGGACCCAGTGGTACAGTTCGCTTCCGCTAGGGGTCTGACGCTCATGAAACCGCTCTGGGCATCCCACTTCGCCTCGCCCGACGAGCTAGTCCGTTACCACTACAACGACTTCAAGACTGCGTCTTGGCTGGCCCGGAACTACTCCGAATCGCTCGCTCGCGATGCCTTTGAGTCCGGATCGGAGAGTTATCAAGACATCGCGGCTCTTTCTGCTCGCCAGGTACTTGGTGCCACTCAGTTCTCCGGAACCCCTGATGATCCCATCATCTTCCTCAAGGAAATCTCGTCGAATGGCAATTTCCAGACCGTGGACGTCATCTTCCCTGCGTTCCCCTTCTTCTTGTATACCAACCCCAAGTGGCTCGGTTACCTCCTCGAGCCGCTGCTTGAGCACCAACTGAGCGGACAATACCCGAACGACTACAGCATGCATGATCTCGGCGCCCACTTCCCCAATGCCACCGGTCACAGCGATGGCAACGATGAGTACATGCCAGTCGAAGAATGCGGAAACATGCTCATCATGGGATTGGCCCTCGCCAATGCCTTCCGCTACGATACCGAACCCGCCTTTGTTCAGGCCGCTGCCCCTGGTCATTTTGCCAGCCCCATCCCCTCAGCCAAGGACTGGTCACACTCCGTAGACAACTACGGCTTCGACCTGCACGGCTACCGCGACCGCAAAACCGATCTCCAAACCACCGGATCCAAAGCCGCAGAAAAATGGCTAACCCGCTCCTACTCCCTCTGGAAGCAATGGACCGGCTACCTCGTTCGCGAGTCGCTGATCCCGCACAACCAGCTCTGCACCGATGATTTTGCTGGGTGGCTCGCCAACCAGACCAACTTGGCATTGAAAGGCATCATTGGCATCAAGGCCATGAGCGAGATCGCGGATATTGTTGGCCACGAAGACGAAGCCAAGCATTACCGCAAGATTGCGGCTACTTACATCGACAAGTGGCAGGAGTACGGCATCTCAAGAGACCAGACGCATGCCAAGTTGGCGTATACGTGGTATGGATCGTGGACGACGATATATAACCTTTATGCGGACTCGTTGTTGTGTTTCCATGTTCCTTCTTCATCTTCGTCCTCATCTTCGTCAACCAAGCACCACCAAGACGAACGAAGAAAGCGGGGTTTCGGCCGCTGGTTCGGCATTACTGAAGACCAGAAACCCATTGGCGGCGGCGGCGGTGACGGTGACGATGGTGATGATGATACCGAAAAACCGTTCATCCCAGATAAAGTCTACCAAATGCAAAGCGATTGGTACTCCGCCGTGCTACAAAAGTACGGCCTACCGCTCGACTCTCGACACTTGTACACCAAGAGCGATTGGGAGTTTTTCGCGGCGGCGGTGACGGGGAAGAAGACGAGGATGGAGATGTTGGAGGCCATTTCGTTGTGGGTTAATGAAACTGTTACTGGTATGTGGTGTCCCTCCTTTTTTTTTTTGGCGTTTTGTTTTTCACTCCCGAGTTTTTTTTGCTGGCTGGATGAAAGACTGACTGACAATGTAAACAGACCGTCCTCTAACCGATCTCTACGATACCGAAGGGAATGGTGGATATCCGGGTATCTACTTCATGGCGAGACCGGTGGTTGGTGGTCACTTTGCTTTCTTGGCGCTGGAGAGGGCTTGTGGTGGGAAGGCGGTGGAGGCGCTGAGGTTTATGGATGAGGAGCCGGCGGCGAAGAAGATGGTTGATATTGATGAGGCTTTGAAGGCTGATATGCTGGAGGCTAAGCGGGATGGTTGGGCTCGTTGGGTTGGTGATCTTTGAGTGTGTTGGATTGTGGAAGTCGTGACTCTTGGATATTGTTACTCTATCGAGACGTAACCGAATGAACCGGCTTTTTCAGTACCTAAACTTCGAGGTTGTAGCCCTTCATTAGTCTTTCCGTGATAGCCGGGTTGGTCAAAATTTGGATGCCCTTGTGAAACACGATTGACTGCCGAGTTTCCTCCAATGTTGATCTGATCGTGATATTTCAAGGTAGGGATGGATGGTAGAAGCAGGGAGCTATATCGAGCCCAGGGATGCGGCGCATTGGCACCTGAAGAGAAGTTGAACAGCAACGGCGAGGAGAGTTGAATTAATTCACCTCGGAATCGCCTCACACCAACATTTCACCTTTAGTGTAGTGGCTTGTTAGGCGGCGTGACCTCACATCAGCTTTGTCAGGTGAAGTTCCCGGTGAAGTCGGCGAGGTCGGCAAGTCCCCATCAGCTGAAAAAAGTCCCCTTGTGGGTGGTGAGCTGAAGAAGTTCTGGCCAACTGGCGCAGGGCTTTGGCAGTACTAATTCCCGGTGGATCCGGTGGAGACCAGCTGCCGACGGGACCGAATGATACGCAGCGTTGGCGTCTTGGCATCACACTCAAATGGATCCCACCAGCCAATAACGGGAGCGCATCGCTGAGCGGCACCCACTGTTCTGAAACTGGTGAGCAATGACGTCGATGGGCGAAGGAAGCGATTGCCTGTCTCGGCGCAATGACGACGTGTGGGAAGGAAGGAATCATCGCCCTCTTTGTCGCAGCGAGTAGCCAAGAAGCCAGCCTTGTATCATACCTGTACCTAGTAAGACATCATCGTTGGGGGAGAAAAGGAAGAGGAGAGACAGAAATAGAAGTATTGGTGCTACCCTTGTGTTCTGTTTCTGTTTTGGTTTTCTTATCCTCCTCCTGTTTGTCATCCCATCTCACAACGGGAACCAAAACATCATTCAACGCCGCAGTTTCCATCTTCCACACCGGCGTAACCGTTCGCTTCTTCTAAAAGGCCTAGACATCCTGATCGACATTCTTATTAACAAAGTTACTATAACGATAAACCTACAGAGTAAGGTTACTCTAACACACGACCATCACCGTACAAAACCAATCGTCAAGTAGAATCCAGAAGATCAAACAACACCTCGAAAGCGAAGGACCTGTAAGATTTCAAGATTTCACAGCCTCAGTCCGCAGTGGACCATCATCCGACCGGTACTCCACAGTTCCCCGACATCCGATACCTACCCGGCCGGTCTGGTCTTTTGACTTTTCGTTTGAGCCTTGGTCTTGGTTTTAATAACCATACATAAGCCATGACCTCAACTACTGCGCCAACGCAAACAGCGCTCGTCCCTCCAAGTAAGTCCCGCGCGTTCATCAGGTGGTGCATATCAGTTAGGCATAACACCCGGACATCTCATCTTGACATACTACCTGCTACGACCTGAATCCCAAAATATCACCGCTTAGATACCTTACTGACCACCTTTTCAAGACAATACTGGGAGGCTACGATACGCAGACGCTAAAGATCTACCTAGCTACCCTTCTTCCGGTCTCAAAAACAACGACGCAGCTGCCAGTGCCGCCGCATCTTTGGGATGGGCTAACAGGAAATCGGTCGAATACCCAAAACCAGAGATATCGACAGCTCCCACTTCTTCAGCCGCGACTCTGGGATGGACAAACACCAAAGTAGTTGAACATCCAAAGGCAGAGTTATCAAAGACACACGCTTCTCACGCCAATACCGCTGCAGTCCTGGCTAACGGCCAAAAGATGGCGTCACCAACGAGTAACGGTTTGGAGGTTTCGCAACCCAAGAGCAATGCGGCAGGATCACAAGCGGCTATCTCGGCATTACGTGCAGCTCAAAGACAACAAAACCAGATTTTCCAACAGAAGCAACAGCAACAACCCCAACCTCAGCAGCCTAAACCTACCTTGGATACCTCAAACTGGGGGAACTCGGCTGCGAATTTGGCCTTCAAGGGACACAAGTCACCTAGCTCTTCTACACCAACCGTTGCAGAGACACAAGGTTCCGCCTTGACACGACAAGCATCACTGCGCGCAGCAAGGGATGCCGTGGCCGGACGACGCCCGCGATCGCGATCGCAACCCCAGCCAGTGACCGAAAACACAGCATACCCCGATAAAGAAAACGCAGCCTCCAATGCCCTTAGCGCCGCGACCAAGTCGATGCGCCCGCCTAGTATTCGTTCGACCGACGAAGCCGGCGCCGTTCCGTACACGACCATGAGCAGACAAATGTTTACGTCCCGACCCCCTGTCAAGCCCGAAGTCGACGAGAAGAATCGGCAAGACGTTCTCCACGCTTCCGCTTTGGCCATGGCCAAGCGCATGTACACCCAGCAACAAAAAATGATCGACCAGTCCAAGCAGGTCCAAGGACGCAGGTCCTCCTTTGAGCGCCACGGCACCGGCGACCCGACAGCCAACAACGACGAGGTGGAACGCCCTCCGGTGGTATACAACAGCCTCCAAGACGCCGCCTACCGTCTCGCGCAGGAACGTCTCGCCAAGCTGCACGACGAACACCAAAAGAACCGGGAGATGCAGGAGTACTACACGGGCGCTTCGCCCTCCAACCAAGGCACTAACGCCGGCGCATTCGGCAGCATCCGGAACAAACTCACCAGACGTCGGTCTTCAAGCGACGGCGACATCATCGTCGCCAACGACCGCCAGCGCTCCCAGCATATCCGCAAGCAAATGTCCCTCTTCAACACCAAGATCGCTGAAGTCGACGAGCAGAAGCGGGCGCGCGATCGCGAAGCACTTTTGCAAGCCGCTCAGCGCAACGTCAAGGCGCGGTTACAGGGAATGGACGAGAAACTGTATGCGGAAAAGGGGGTGATGATTCCGCACACAAGCAAGAGCGATTGGGAGGTGAAGGCACACGCGGCGGCGCAGGCGAGGTTTGATGCGAGCAACAGCAAGAGGCCAATGGATGCGGGCCAAGTGGATATCGGCGGCGGGAAGATGGTAGACAGGGCGAAGGTGGAGGATATTGCCGCGAAGAGGGTGCAGCCGTTGCTGGATGAGATTAATGAAAATGCGGAGAAAGAGAGGGAGAGGAGGGCGGCGGTGAAGATGGAGGAGGACAGGAAGAGGGAGGAGGTGGAGAAGAATAAGATGCGGGAGAAGGAGGTGGCGATGTTGCATAAGCAATTGAAAGGTATGTTTTGCGTTAGTGTTGATTAATATCAAGAGTAAGGGGCTAACGAATGATTGGCAGACCAGCAAAAAGACAAAGAAAAGGCTCTAGCGGCAGAAGTCAAGAGAGAGGAAAGGCAGCGAAAGGAGGAGGAGAAGGCGGCCAAGGCTGAGCAGAAGAGACTGGCTAAGGAGGCCAAAGAGGAAAAGCAAATTGGAAAGGGGAAGGAGCTCGCTACGGCTGCTGACTTGGACCAAAGTTCTTCTCCGGACGAGAAACCAACGGGCCCGTTACTGGTTGCCCATAGGAGGACAGACAGTTCGGGACTGACCAGGTTGTCCATGCCATTCCAAAGACGCACATCGCCGCCTCAAAGGGCTTCAACAACACCAGACGGGGGAGCGAGTCCCATCTTGGAACCGCAATCAGCAGCATCACCAACTAGCAAGGTGAAGGCCTGGCTAAAGAACCGCTTCTCCCGTCCCAGAGCGGCATCCGGCGCATCTATCGCTTCGTCGAGAGTCGATACACCGGCAGACGGTGCCGCTGACGCTGCCAGCCCCGATATGAACAGGGGTTTCATCGGCGGCGTGGCACTAACCCGCAAGCTGGAGGAGAACAACCCCAGTGTCCCCTCCATTGTCGGAGACGACCACAGCGGGCCGGGAAGTATCCGCGAAGTCGCCCTCGCCGGCCTCTCGGCGCCCACCCCCGTCCATCCGCCGATGACAACGACGCCAGCCATAAACCTATTAGCGGCGGCGCAAGACGAACCCGGTGAGAGCAGTGGCCTTACGACCGTCCCTTATAACTCCACCAGCGCCCTAGGCACCGCCGCTTTGAAGCCTTCATCTCGCCCTATTAGCGCCATCGGCGGCTTCGACGCAGTGGCTACCGTCACTACCACCACCACTACTACTACCACCAAACCGGCAGTCAGTGACCGCCCTCCCTCCCTATCAGTTGAGACCCAACAACCACAACTCGTCCTCCCCTATGTCACCACCACCATCACCGCCAACCCAGCCGAAGCAGAAACCAACTCCGTCAGCAGCCTAAGCAGCTCAGACTTAAGCGATAGCGTCTACAGCAGGGTGAGCGATAACAGCGCTTCACCTCCTGGACAAGACAACTACAAAGACAACGAAAACGACGACGAGTTCCTAGAAGCAAGAAGCACCTTCTCCAGCGATGGACCGCTTACACCACCCTCCGCGGGGTTCCCTTCGGTGATGAATGGGATGAAGGTGGCTGTTAATGTTACGCAGCCTACTCCCGGTGTAGATGGTGCTGAGGAAAAGGGCTACGGGCAGTTCTTGATGGCTGATCCTAGGGCTAGCACGGGGACCGGAGTAGGAAGTCTGAGGGAAAGGCCGGTGAGTTCGGGGGGGCTGAGTGTGGGACGGTCGTCGGTGGGGGGTTGTGGGAGGATTAGTCCGTTTAGAGAGAGTAGGTTTTCGGAGAATTTTGATAAGGAGGATTAAGGGGGGGTATGAGATTTTATGCTTTGTTTGTGGCATTTCGGGTCTTTTGGATGGTTGATACCCTTTTAGGGGCGTCCGGATGGATTGATGGATGGGTAATGAGAAAGAATGATCGATGAATGCTTTCCTTTTTTTTGTCCTGTATCATATACCTAAAACTGTTCTGGTGGACTTTGCTCTGGCTTTTGTATAATAACTACCGATGGCACTGATGATCCGTTTCCTACCTTCTCTCTTACCTCTAGTAGTATTCGTCAATGATAATGTTAGTTTGCATCGGCTATAGTTTAGGCACACACTGACTTGTGAAATGTGCCAATTCGGTTCTACTCTAGCTTCAAATACGAACTCGCAACATCGCGAGTCCGAGCAAAGAGAGACTGGCGTTACAGCTTCAACGCCGTGTTCTGTTTGCCCATGATCCTCCACGTTGTCCTCATCCCACACGGGAGCCCACATCTCACACACAACATTCCCACCCTCATTGTTGCCTGGCAGAAGTTGTTTACGAACCTTGCTGGCCGGCCACCTGCCGACAACTGTTTCGCTCTTTCCCTTCCAGCATCTCCACCTCAAACGACCACATGCCCGGATGCCTACCGTTCGTACCTTCCCAACCACACACGAAAAGCTCTTCATAAGCAAACCTTTCACCATCACTTTCCAACAAGAAAATAACCCTACTGGTGTATCGGTTAACATGGCGGATTCTCATTCCAAAGTTTCCGCAGCGCAGGGTTCAACTCCCTGGTGGGGTAATTATTTTTGCATCTTGTCTCTTCTTTTTCTCTGTTGCGTTCTAAGTGAGGCTAGTATGATATTGTGTAAAGCACTTACTTACCCTCTTTGGCCTTTGTGGGAACCAGAACTGCTCTTTTGTCGCGTAGCTTTGGATTTTTTGGACGTCACTCTCGCGTACAAGGGAAAAAAACAAAAACAAAAAAAAAAAACATCATCACATCGTACCGTTGTTGTAGAAGGTTGACTTGGAGCGAGTGTGATGTGAGCTATCTTCTGGTGTGTGTGTGTGTGTGTGTGTGCTCAGTCGTCGAAAATGAGATAGTCAGCAAGAGCCCCAACCAACCCCCGAAAGTTTTCAAGTCGAGACTGCAATAAATTCACCCAAACAGAATCAAAACTGCAGTCTTCTTTTGGGAGCGAGGTTCTCGTATGGTCACATAGTCAATTCGTTGTTTTCATTCACGACGTACTTAAAGAGTGCGTGCGGGTGTGTGCAACAGTGAATGGGTTTGGGACTCTCCGTGTGGTAACTAGATTGACTCTTGCCGGCTATTTTCTCGCTCAGTCGTGCCTTCCACCCCCATCCTGGCAAGACAGAGGAAACCCGCATAGCCAGCAGGCACATACAAGGAAGGAGCACAAACAGGGGCATATAAGGGAATCACTCATCACCTCTTGTCAACAAGCAGAAAACAACCTTACTGGTGTATCGGTTAACATGGCGGATTCTCAATCTTGGTTGATCAAGTTTCCGCAGCGCAGGGTTCAACTCCCTGGTAGGGTAAACTTTTTACCTTTTTTTCGTCTTGTTCTTTGTAACTTGCTTCTTCTCAATGTTGGATTCTGCAATGGGGAGTTGGGATCGATGGTCATTTCAAGGGAACTTCAATTCATGTGACAACAAAACCTCAGATTGTTCACCAAGGTAATCCATCCAGCATTCTCGTCGGCCAAGTTTCTCCCTTTTTCTTTTTTTCTTTATTTCTTCCTTCTGATTTGCCCTGGATCTAACCGACCCAGTCAGTCACTGTGACGTGGGAGGTAGACGGGCAGACATGTCGCGCAATCACCGATCTCGTTGACCACCTTGCAAGTGACACACTATTTGATGAACTCGAAGTTGACAAGGTGAGGCTTCTGGACAATTTCGATGTCAGAGAACCCATTTATCGGTATCCCGAATCCGGTAGGTAGTACCAATACTTTAAAGCCACTCTATAGCCACTTACTAACCAAGGGCGCCTCAATATCCATGTGCGGTAGAAAAGTACCGGTGGCGGGAGCTCTTGCCTCGCATGTGACAGTCTTCTAGAAAGCCCAGATTCGTCATGAGAGGCTGTTGTTGATCTCGTGAGGTCCTAGATTCCGATGGAGGGGAAGAGGCCGCGGAGGTCCCGAGCTGGAAGTGAAAACTGGAAAGTGAACTTGGCGGATGTAGCAGACTTTTGGACTTGTTCGCCACGGATCAACTGCTCTGTATGTCAAAAGCAAGTTCATAGCAGAACGGTCAACGTAGGGTGACCCGTCGAGGAGTGTTGTTCTCAGCCCTACGAGAAACGGGACGGATGTCGTCTGGTGTGGGGAGGAAAGGGATCCGCAATGTGGGGCCAGGGTCAGCAGTGCGCACAGACCACCACGCTCGCTACACATCGTGTTCTGTCGCCCGCCGTAGACATTTCAGCACCCCAGATGAGGGGTTTCGATCTGTTGTCCCCCTCTTCACCAAGCACTGCATCTTCAAAGCTGACAAGGCGTCCATCCGGGTTGAAAAACGAATATCACAACATAGCCTCAAACCATGCCGAATATGTGGTGATGAGACGATAATCGTCTGGTTTCCGACCTCCTCACAAGACCTCGCGCCATTCGGAGCGCCCCTTTTCTTCCACGTTCGTGTCCATCGTTGCTCAAAAGGCCCAAACATTCCTTTCGCTCGCCAGTCGCCTCCGTTGTCACTCACTGTCACACACATCCTGCCGTCTAATTTCAGAGACAACGCTGTCAGCTCTGCATGGTCACCCTCTTCTCAACTGCGACTTCAGGGCCCCGACCGAACGTGGTTAACACGGAAATAGCAAACCGTCCAGAATAGGTACAACAACAACAACAACAACAGCTGTACCACTCTCGCTTTGTTCGCTCTTTTTCGTCCATCAGTGCAAGCAAGCAAGCCCCCGGCCCGATTACCCACCACAATGGCGCCGGAGAGGAGCAGAGGCAGACAGGTCTAACTACGACGATGTGAAGTGAAAGAGAGTCTTAGTGCATACATATCACACACACACTGATGACTAGACCTACATTATTGGTATGCATTTCAGTCTCACTAACGGTCGATAGTGCCACCTGCGTTACCTCAGCTATTGCCCTGTCAAGGAACGTTCGATCCGGTCAATAAATCCAAAGCTGGCTCGGTATTGGCACCCATCCATCCATCAGTTCGGGCTTTATCTGTCATAGCAGCTTCATCAGTGGTTGTGTGGAGCTCCTCGTGTGGACATCTAGAGTCACATCAGAACATCTGCTTCGGGCCATCCCATGCGGCTGGAAAAATAGTCGAAAAAACATTGCTCTTATCGGCAATACAAGTGGTAGTGAGACCAATCAACAGCCGCCGTCGTAATGGCGTTGCGTCCCTCGTCGTTCGGCTCGGCATCTCGGCTGAGCTTGGCGTTCGAGATGGGTGGTGTTCGTGATGGTGGTGGTTGAACTATCTACAGTATCAACAGGGTCGTCTCGCTCGCGACCTATCCCACACTGTGTCGATGCACAGCAATCCGCCTTAAACCCATTCGGCTGCACATGCAGTCGTTGTTCGACTTCGTGATAATACGAGAAAAGCGACAAGGCCTTCAAAGAACCAATTAGGATCGCTCGAGATCCTGGACAGAAGACGTTGTGTGTGTGTGTCGATGGAAAGCTGATGCAGGGGTCAGCCAATTCCCAACCAGCGTTGCGATTCCCCGGGTCCAGGTTCCAGGCCACCCTTCCGTTATCCTTGCCCCCATGTTGGTCTGTACCATCTTCGCCTTGTGATCCCTCTTGTACAGGTGAAAATAGGTCGCAGTGCGCAATCATGGACGCAGTAATAGAATAGCCTCTCTCTCTCCTCTCGAGAAGGAAGGAGGTCTGTTATCTATCTGCTGCTGTCCGTCCAGCTGGCTTGAATACGATCGAGTCTCCTTCCCCGGTTGTATCTTGTCGTGTTGTCGTCGAGTTTAGCGATACGAGGCGCATAATATCCCGATACCACCTTGTTTTTTTCTTATTCTTCTCGCCTCCTCTTGCAGACGCCTCAAAGCCAAAGCAGTCATCACTCGTTATTTCCACAGTCAAACTGCAGCTGTTAAGCTCTGTCTGGGCCGCTTTCCCTTCCGACAATCCGGCGTCCGTCAGCACATTCGTTCTCGACCGTTGTTATCGTACATACGGTACTGCTGTCAGATCTGATGTTCTGAACCGTTTCCCGATCTCGCCGCAAGCCTCACAGACGCCGCACACGCCCATCATGAGATACGCATACCCTGGCCTGGCCGGCCTGCTTTCGCTGGCGGCTAGGACTGGAGCCGACCCAACATGGCCCGCCGCCACGGACGAGATGGAGGAGATTGTGTACCAACTCCAGGGGTTCAAGGGCAGGGTCTTCAATGATGTTATTACGCCTTGCAACAATGAGGCCGCTGGACCTGGAAGGGTGACGGCGTCGGAGTGGTTGCGGGTGGGATTCCAGTATGTGTTTTTTTTTCTGATATCCAGTGATGAGGGTAGAAAACAGGGCCAGGTCAAAATTCCGGATGGCGGTAAGGAAGGTCAAAGGAATGGACAGATTACCTCGTGGGAAATCATACGGAACTGAACATCTGTTCGACTTCGACAGATGAATATAGTCCGCGCAAAATGCTAACTTCACCAGCGACATGTCCACCCACAACCGCGTCTTCGGCACCGGCGGACTCGACGCCTCCCTCCAATTCGAGCTCACAAACGGCGAGAACACCGGACCGGGCCACAACACCACCCTCAAGTTCTTGGCCAACTACTACTCATCCCAATCGACCATGGCGGACCTGATTGCCGCCGGCGTCTACGCTTCTGTCCGATCTTGCGGAGGCCCCATCATCCCCCTTAGACTCGGGAGGAAAGACGCAACATCCAGTGGCAGCACCGGCGTGCCGCAACCCCAGAACTCGGCCGAGACGTTTAGGCAACAATTCGACCGCATGGGGTTCAGCACCGAAGAAATGATCCAGGTGACGGCTTGCGGACATACCCTCGGCGGTGTCCACACGGAGGAGTTTCCCGAGATTGTGCCCGCCGGTACGGGAACTAACGGCCAGAAGCCTCTTGATACCACTGATGCTACGTTTGATAACAAGGTTGTGACCGAGTACATCTCTGGGACAACGCAGAATCCGTTGGTGGTTGGGCCTGCTGTTGCGGTGAACAGACACTCGGATTTCAAGGTGTTCAACATTGATGGGAATACCACGATGAACGGGTTGACGTCTGCTTCGACTTTTAGGGACGTTTGCAAGACTGTTCTTCAGAAGATGATTGATACTGTGCCCTCGGGGGTGACGCTGACGGACCCCATTGCCCCTTATGCGGTTAAGCCTGTGGATATGCAGTTGACCTTGAATTCGGGAGGTTCCAGTTTTCTCCTGACTGGGTACATCAGAGTTCGCACGACGAATCGGGCCTCTGGTGCCATCAAGAATGTCAAGATGACTTGGAAGGATAGGAATGGCGGTTGTGCTTCCGGGTCGTGCTCATACACCGCCACCGTACAAGGAGCTGGTACCGGGTTTGATGATACTTTTGAGGTATGCCCCTTTGGCACTCGAACTCTAACTCATCGCAACTGACCAGGGACATAGTTCTTCCCTATCTCAACCAACATCCCCGCTTCCTCGGGCATTTCTTCCTTCACAGTCACCGTCAACCTCAACGACGGCACCAGCGAGTCGTACGACAACAACGGAAACTCCTACCCCTTGTCAGATGCCATCATCCTCCAAAAACCCCAGAGCTGTCTTCTTCAAAGCTCTGGTGCACTCACCGTTTCTGCGCTTGTAAGCTCCCCCTCCTCCTTCTCGCCTTCAAGACTCGCCTCCGCTGACTAACAAAATAGGTCCGCAACGACATCACCACAACTCCCTCGCTAGGCATCTCCTACCTCACACCCCGCGGCGTCGTCCGCAACGGCAACCCGGTCCCCATCCTCAGCAGCACCACCGTCGCCATGACAAAAGGCGACTGCATCGGCCCTTACACCTTCTACTCCGCCAGCTACACCATCACAGGTGGTCTGAGTTACGCCGCCAAGCTCAGCGTCACCGCAGGCTCCAACTCCGATAGCTTCAACAAGGCCAGCGATCTATCAGGCAGCTGCGCTACCTTTTCTGGAACTGCGTCCTGCACCACGCCTGGTAGTGGTGGCGGTGGTGGTAACGGGCCAGACGCCTCTTCCACTGTTGCCAGCACTGTTGCGCCGAGCTCGTCCGCAGCCGAGCCATCATCTACCAGCAGCGTAGTCAAGGTTATCAGCTCCAGCGACATCACCAGCTCTAGCGACATCACCAGCTCTACCACCACCGTTGTTTCATCCACCACCACCTCCTCCTCAGCTCCCACGGCCACCGGCCCAGCAAGGAAACAAACAGTCGCCGGCTACACCCGCCTCCGCTGCGTAACCGAAGGCTCCGGCGTGCGCGCCCTAACCGGCGCCTCCTTCGCCTACGACACCATGACGCTCGAGTCGTGCGCGGCCAACTGCACCGCCGCAGGTAACTTCGCTTACTTCGGCACCGAATACTCGCGCGAATGTTATTGCGGCAACACCCTGGCAGCTAGCAGCTCCGAGGCGCCCGATAGCGAGTGTAACATGTTGTGTGCTGGTGACGCGACGGAGTATTGCGGGGCGGGGAATAGGCTGGAGTTGTACTCGAAGCCTGGGACGGGGGGAACGAGTACTGCTAGTGCAGCACAGCCAACGGCTACCCTGGGAAGAAAGGACACGGTGGGCGATTACGTCTTTGTCGGATGCCAGACTGAAGCTACTCAAGGCGGTAGGGCGCTGGAGGGCAAGTCCTGGGCTGATGATGGGATGACGCTGGAGGGGTGTGCGGAGGCTTGTAGTGGGTGGGAGTATTTTGGGGTGGAGTATGGGAGGGAGTGTGAGTATTTTTATTTCCCTCTCTCATTTTCTTCTGTTGTTCTGAGTTCGATGGTCGTGAGCCTGACTAACTGATGACACCATCTAGGCTACTGCGGCAACACCCTCCGTGGCGGCTCCGCTCCGGCTCCGCTGTCTGATTGCAGCTTCACTTGTGCCGGAACCCCTTACGAGTACTGCGGCGCTGGAAATCGACTTGAGCTTTATCGGTTGGCGAGTGCTAGTTCGTCATCGAAGGCGAGGAGGTCTCGTGGGGAGAGAGGACGGAGGTTATAATAATGTCTTCAGTTAGGATCGGGATGGATGGATGATACGGATGGGATACACACATGACTGGGCTCTTGGACTATATACAACGGAACAGGTCGATCTTTTGAATGACGTTGAATGGTCGGTTGACTGAAGCTTAAGGAGGTAACTAACTGGGTTTGCTATCCGAACAAGGCTTCAAGATACAGTAGGCCATAATGATGATGATGATGATGATGGGAACAATTCAAAGTTTGCTCAAAACCATCCAGCTCCTGCCAACAGAGGCAACCAAACCACCTACACCAACTGCACCTTCCTTACCTATCCTTGTGCCTGCCCGTGACTCTTCCCCGGCTTCATTCTACGCGTAGCTCCCCTCCCATCCCAAATACCCCTTCCTTCCTGGTAGGTAGTCCAGTCAAGCAGACCCACTGGAGTCCAACCCGGGTCACTCCGAGTTGTTACTCTTCTTTGGGATTCACCCCTCGACTGGCAACGAGAGTACCTTACTCAACCGATTTACCAACCGCGCGTTTTTCGGTTCGTTGCTGGTTGTTGATTCGAGACTACACAGAGAGATTGGGTCACAACTGAAGGATAAAGATGGAAGTGAAGGCTGTTCAGGGAAGGCACGGTGACGCGGGGACAGTTCTTAGTTTCCCTTGCTATCTGAGTGGTGTCGGACACTGCCGGGTGTAGAGGTAGGTTGCCGTTAAGGAAGGAACCTGTCCGGACAGAAGGAAAGAAGGTGCGGAGGGGAGGGCTTTGGGAGGAGGGGACGTTCGGAAGGGGGCCGGGTGGAGCCTGGCAGTAGGAGGCAGTACCGTACCTGCCCTGGTTGGTCTTTCTTCATCGGGACGGGAACAGATTGCAGGTCGCGCAAGGAAGCACCGACTGAGGAGACACTTGCTGAGTGCTCCCGTCATTTACTGTTTGGGTTCTGAGGGCAGGGACGACTGAGCAGTGTTGAGAAGATATCTTTGTTTCTTGGAGGTGTGTGATGGAAATGACGCCTGATACCAAGATTTTGTGTCATCAATGGTAATTCATCAGTGCGCGTCTGGTCAGGATGAAGTTCATCCGTTCTTATCGTGTTTCAAGATGTAGCATAGCGGTTGATCATTTAATTTTTGGTATCATCCTGGTCTTGTTGTCTAGCTCTGCGCAGCTCTGGCTTATGCGTGTTCTTTATATCGTCACAGGAGCACGGATTCAACTCATAGTCGAGTAGTACGAGTTGTAGTAGTGGTAAAGTTTTTAAATATTTAAAAAGCTAGCAATAAACCCCCCAGCCGAAGAATGCTGTTTTGTACGCCGGACAGGTTTGTGTTTCACCTGCCTGTCCTCAGACAGAAACATAAAAACCCAAGCAACCACCCTTCGTTCGCCGCCGTCCGTTGTCGCCGAATATCAAACTAAAAACTGACATCCACCTGACCTAAAACCGACACAAAAGTTTGTCCGACGCCTGTCTTGCTTTGTCCTAGTTCCTGTTCCGTAATCGCCTTCCGTCCGTCCGCCCGTGGGTATGTATATGTGTGTGTGAGCGTACCATACGTCCGTCCATTGCATATGCGTTCCGTCGTCCTTCCTCGGGTGTTGTCTTGGGTATTCTTTCCTCCTTTCCTAGAGTAGTAAAAAGAAAGTCGTAAACCGACATATGCATGGCTCTTCTTCTTCTTCCTCTCTCTTTGTTTGTGGTCTGTGTATTGTAACAATATGTGTAATATGAATGTATGAATGGTAAGGTTTCGTTTATGATTTGATAATGATAATGAAAATGGATGGGGGATATCTGAATGCGAAGATGTGAAAAGACCAAGAGAGCTCCGGGGGTATTTGTTGACAGTAGAGAGAAAGTAAGAAAAGTAGAAAAATCCCTTTAACAATGCATGTAATGATGAGAGGGGTGACCTTTGCCCAAGCGACGAGGTCGAGAAAGAAGAAAACCCATCAGATAGGGAAAGAACACGCAGCATGGATGTGTGAGGATCAGACAGGATAGGAGAGATCAAAGGAACGGACGGCACATGACATGATGCCCATAGCCCCATATGTCCCAAACGCTCTCCACCCAAATCAGGACCAGGGGTAATGACAAACTTCATGTGAAACCACCAGCATTTTCTGGGACTGCAGGAATGCAAACCTGCCCATGAACCCTGAAACGCCGATCATCCCTTCACATCAAGTTCGTTAACCCTTACCCACAAACCCCCTCGTCCGATTCATGCCGCTCACGTGTCTTCCCGTTCCCGTTCCGTTCCGTGTGCCATCCGGCATGCATTCCATCCCATCAAGGCAACCCGCCCTGACGTTTAAAAACCCGTTTCGTCCCGCCAATCTTGCCCATGTCGCCGAACTTTCCATCTGCACTAGCTGGCGAATCCGACACTTTACGGCTCATATTAGAGGCGCTCTGCACCTTGGCCTTCATGTCCTCCACCCACGCCTGGGCCTCCTCGCTCATTTCAATATTCTTCGTCCGCGGGCCTGCTAATCCAAGCACAATCTCCTCATCACCACGATGGCTGAGGCGGGAGCTTGAGCGAGAGCGAGTCGAAATCGAGCGGGAGCGGGCTGCTGCTGATGGGGGTCTTGGCGATGATGCGCCAGTCGCTTTACCCGCCGGGATGAAGGGCGTCTTAGGAGTCGCTTTGGGTGTTTCGGCGTTCTCCTCGCGTGCCTCCGCAGGCTTTCTAGTCTTGCGGACGTTCAAGGGAGTATCGGGAGGGGATTGTCGATCCTGGTTAGACCGTCTGGATGGCGGCCGAGTGGGTGAGCTAGAGCCACCGGCCACTGTGACACGAGGCAGATTGACCTCCACCTTGCCATCTAGCACGACGTTTCGGCGATGGTGACTGGCGAAAACCCTAAGATACTCGCCCAAATCGGCCCATCCACCACCTACTCGTACCATGACCCGTTCGCCATGCTCGCCAACGCATCTGATGAACAGCTTGATAGGGGCATCACCGTTGTTCCTCGTAAGGTGGTAAATCTTGATATCACGATGACTGCCGCGGTGGCGTTGTCGGGAACTGCGGGAAGGCGCCGGGGCAAGAGTAAAGGAAGGTGTCCCGGCACGGGAGGACAAGGTAGACCTCGTCGACAAGCTGGACTGGCTCCGGTTTCGCAGCTCCGGCTTGGATGCCTTCCTGTTTAGCGCAGTGAAATCGGGAGGATTCAAATTAATCGGCGAGGGTTCAGAGGTGAGGCGGATCTTAGCCGGCACAGACTCCAAAATCTCACTAATTTGCTGCTGGAGCTGGTCCAACTTTTCTTCCGAATTTCCGGCACTAGACTTGGATAGGCTTCCGTCTTCATTAATAGCCGATGACTCGAAATTCGACTGGTCAAAGTCTGGCAACTCCGCCACAGTTGGCATGTCGTTAAATCCGCGCGACTGTGATCTGAGCCTCGACATTGATCTGCTGAAGCGCGGAGGAGAGCTTGGAGGGCTGACATCGCGTGAAAGACTGCCTTCAAGATCCTTACTCCGTCTTCGAGAGCGATCCGGAGTCTCCTGTTCGAGTCCACGATTTCCAAACACAATGGTTGAAGTGGTGGAGAAGTTGCTACCGCGTCTCGAGCGGGGGAAACTAGGGAGATCATGCTCGAGGCTATCATCGAAGTCGAAGTCTGAGTCGAAGGGGTCTAGTTCAAAATATTCACCATCGGATGTCGCATAGCTCAGGCTGGAGGAATGAGGCCTGGAGCCCTTCACACTGGCAACAATATTAGGAGAGGGCATCATCCCTCTTACCGGAGCTTCGTCGATATCAGATCCGTCAAATCCGCCTAGAGCACGATCTTCTGCGGGTAGGCGCTCTTCACTGGTTTCTGGGGCTGCAGTTTCGTCCACAAAGGTCCAAGAGTCATTTTCTCCTTTCTCGGCGTCATTCTCGTCGATTCCGTCCAGAGGAACATGGACTTTGATTAGGGGAGGGACATCGACGTTCATAGCCTTGGTATTAGCTGTCGAATAATCGCTTTGTTGGTCCTGGTCGGTTGAAGTAGCTGCACCGTTTGTGGCTGCAATGTTCGTCTGTTGTTGTTTCCGTTCATCCAAGCCCAGCTTGGCGGTAGTATCGCTATTAGTTGGCGCAACAATCTTCAAGTCTGCTTGCTTGATCTTGAGCTCGCAGGCAGCAACCCATTCGCCATATTGCTTCTCTAGAGACTCTACTCGGTCCAGCCATTCGTCAGGAAGAGTGTATTCCCATCCTTCTAGATTATCAAGCATGACGTCTAGGTCGCGACCGGCCTTTGCGACTTTCTTCTCCAGTACCGACTTCATCACGTTGAACTCGGCCCATGACAGCGGCGAAGGCGGCCTATTCGGTATCGCGCGAGCATTGGCATCCAACCCAGCTACATTCCGTCCAGATTGAAGAGCAATTTCTCCATCAGCGAGAGTATCCAAGAAGGCGGGAACCCTCTTCAGAACAAGCAATCGAATGCTCCAGGAGTTTAGGAGTCTGCTAAGACGAGCCAAATTCGGTAGGGTTTGCATGATAGTGGCCGTAAGAAATGCTGTAAGGTCGTCCATGTGGGCATAGCTGGGGAGAGGTCGGTTTGAGCCCAAGATCGGAGAGCCGGAGGTTGGTAGCGGGACAATATGGTTGCGCAGGACATGGTTCTTGATTTCCTCGATATCGATCTCCTCCATGCCCTTGTATATTTCGTCCACGCGCTTCTCATACTTGGCAACCTCGGCAGCAGGCAGGCTGCCACAGTATAGCTTGTCGGAGAGCTGGGATCCCGATTCAAACTTCCTTCTCTTCAAGTCGGGCACCTGAAAGCCGGCAGAGCTCGCGCTGGACGGCCAGGGCCACGATGAGAGCTCATCGAGCCATTCCTGGATTTCGTTGCTAGCAATGGCGGCTCGGAGAGCAAAGGCCTTCTCGGTTGGGGAGGCGGAAGCCATGCATGCCCTGAAATCCCCCGTAGGGTTCCGTATGGTATCGAGTGCGGTGCGCGGAGTGAGGTTGGACAAGAGGTCGTCGTTTTCGCGGTACTGCCGGGGAGGCGATCCGGTAGGGGATCGCGGGGGGCGACTACGTGGGGTGACGACCGCGAGGGCGTAGGAGAGGTTGGGCGAGGAGGAGGGGGATCTGGTCATGGTATTCGGTGTTCGTTGTAGGTCTTGTTCTCATGGGCGTGTGGTATGTCCGGCTGGACGGGCGCATTACGGCGCTGTTTCGTATTATTCTATGAACCTGGGGATCTCGCAGATACGATGCTGTCGTCGGCTCCCATAGTCTAAACGAGGTCGAATCGGGGAGTGTCTCGTTGGGAGTCGGACACCGCCTAGAGCAATGTCGTCTTCCGCAGTCGGTTCGGGGGAGGAAGAAGCAGTCTGATATGGTCGGAGGGCTCGGAGATCGGATGAGATTAGGTATCGTGGGTGGTAGAGATATGTTGTAGGTAAAGGTACTAGTAGGTTATTGGAGTTGAATGGGCTGGCAGGCGGTCGCCGGTTACCGGTCGCCAGTCGCCAGTCGTAGGAATTAGAAAGCCAAAAGATCAGGCAGGTACGGCCGGATCTTGAGCTTATGAATCTGGTAACAACGGAAGGTGCGTAGTAGTAGCTCTTTCCGCGGCCGTGAACAATGGTGGTTGCACAGAAACAGGAAGTGTACCCGACCAGTCGCAAATCTGAAATTATGGAGGAGGTACTGAAGGAGGTACTGGAAGTATCGACAGCAATGCGACGGCCCGTAGTAGATGTAGGTAGGACAACAAACAAGCAACTTGACTTGTCGCAAACTGGCAATCAAGGCGGGGAATAGAGGTCCGAGGTACGCAACTGGTACGCAGGAGAACACGGAGAAGACGCAGGAGGGACTGCGCTAGAACGAGAATGCGTCAATGCGGTCGATCAGGTGGATGGCTCTAGGAGTAGCGTAAGGACGGCGGTACGCAGCATGTACGTAACAATGCAGAACAGCCGGCGGCGGGATTGGATCAAACGAATTGTATGGAAGGCGCAAAGGGGGCTCGTGAGAGGGCAAAGAAGGGCCGTGGTCCGTGGAGGGGAATTGAAACTACACTAGCGTAGGGAAAAACGAGTGAATGGCGGCAGCGCGCAGGAGGACAGAATCAAACGAATGGCAGCTCGATTCAGCGAGAATCCGAGCAGTAATTGGATGCAAGTCAGAACAAGTGGATGAGGCGGATCACGGATGATGGTCGAGCCATCAATGAGATGAACAAGATGGAACAAGTGTGGACTTTTTGGGACCTGAACCAAGACCGACCCAGACTGGCCAGACCCACACGCACCACTCCCAGGCCCGAGCCTCCTTTCGCTTAGGGCCCGATTGGGTTTAGTGATGCTATTCCAGACATTATCGAACGGCATATGGGAAGAGTTTGCGCCGTTTGATTCGCCGCTTTCAGCCCTCTGGTCCCCCGACATTTCAATCGCACCCTGTCCGATGGTCGTGTGGACGTGTGCTGTCCTGGACTCCTGGGAGACCTGGCTGTCTTCCGCCCCGGCCGGCTGCTCGCCCGCTGCGCGTTGCCGTTGCGATGGCTCGGTTGCGGGTGCGGTTCCAACGTCCCACCATATGAAAGAAGATTGCTCCCGGGGGGCTGCTGTTGGGTTCCGTCTGGAGCTGCCCAGTGCGACCTCGGCGATGCCCTCCACGGGTGCCACGCCATGAGGGACCTGATGGATGCCCGCGCCATCATCCTTGGGACTCCGTCCTTGGGATGGCCGACGACGGGGAAACCGTTCAGCTTTGCGTGCGGCGCCTCGGGACTCCAGGACGCCAGGAACAGGGGGAGCAGGGACAGGCCAATGTCCGACAGGGGCAGAACAGGAGCGAGCAGGGGTGACACGGTCATCATAATGGACTGCTAACACCATTCAGGACTAACTCACGATGGCCACGGCTCCAGTCCCTACCTGTTCCTGGATCCGGCTGGCCTGTGAGTGTCGAGTGTGTGTGGGGAAATGTACGCTGCTGTCATCACTGCCCGCGGAGCCCATCTTTTGCCAGGACAAGACTGGACCGCCAAAGCAAGGCATCGCCGTCCGGCTCTGTCCCGTCACATGCTGGCTGTGATGAGGCCGCAATCTGACCACCACGCCGATACGATCCCGATCCGACCACGCCGGCCTTTGTGCCTCTCTTCCGTTCGCGTCGCTTGTGCCAGCAAACCACCAACACAGCCGCAGTGCCGCAGTGCCG